GAGAGAGAGAGAGAGAGTTCAGATTCTGCTGTTGTCCTGTACTACAATCAGGTGAGCAAATCCTGGCTGCAAGGTTCTATTCTGAAGTGCAGAAAGACTTCTTGGTATTCATTAATAACTAAATGATGACTAAATTTAGGGACTTCTAAACTCTAGAGTACTATTTGGTTGGGTAAAACTCCTTTGGTTAGTGTTCAGAATCATCAAAACATTTCCAGTTCAAGTTTCAGGTCAGCATTGAATTTGATATTTTCTTGTACAGCTAAATCTAGACTGAAAAGTCTCCCTTCGAAGACTAACATATTGTGAATGATACACATGTTTGGTTGCAATTTAAATGAACCTAAATTTTCTTTAACCACAGCTAAAAGGCAGGTGATACTTATAGCAATGTCATATAACATCTTACCTTATTGTCCTCCAACCAACGAATGATACAGTGTGAATGATAACAATGTTTACAAGGCAACGTAATCAACCATTCTCTCCTATAATTCATTTTACAAATGACACATCTGCACAAAAGAAGTCATTGTTAGTATTCTAAAAGAAATATTTATAGGAAAGCATACAAACTTTTTAAAGAACATTTTACAATCATTTCCCCGTGCTTATGCCACCAAAAGAATTTTGTTTTGTTTGTTGAATATACATAAGAACTCTTATATATTCCAATTGAAACAAACCTACTTTGAAATATCACAATTGCATCAACTACAATAGTTTTTTATTTTGCTCATTTGTTGGAGTTATCAGTAGTGAACATATATAAGCATTTTTCTGTGTCATGCTTCCGAGATTTTATTACTTGAGCAAGCATATTTGATCATGCCAATTGATGTACCTTCATGACTAGAATTCAAATGGTTGTCACTTAACAAAACCTTTTTTTTTTTACTGCATTCCTTTTCTTTCAGAGAGGAGTTGTTACTTGGTGTGAAGTGTTCCCTAGCAAGATCTGATTGATTTTTGTTTTAGTTGTAGCCAAGCGATGCAACTTCTAAATCAACTATCTTATTTATTTACTTTTACTTGAGATTTAGAATTCTGGCCACAACATTTTCAGAAGCATTAGATCAAGAAAATGAAATACTAGCCTCATATCATATTCTAGCTTAAACTACTTGAGACTTCCTCCATTGAATGCATATGTTGGAATTATTCTAACAGCGTATATACGTACATATGTGCAAAGGTGAAATGATTGAGGCCTCAATCTTTCTTCTAGGATTCTACCTAAGTGCATATTACAGAAACGGTCATCCAGTTCTGAAGTAATTGTGTGCTGCATGACAAAATCTGGCTTCGTTTTATTAGAGGCCACTTCATAACTTGAAATAAGAAATATATGTATGTCTTCATAAAACCTAATGAGTTTCCTTAAAAAAACTACGATTGGTATCACATTTTTCTGAGCATATTTAGAGTTCAATGTTGCAATTCAAAGAAAAATTAAGATACAGATCAATAGGCAAATAAGCTGCAAAGTCCATATCTGGTTGTACATTATTTTAAAGGCCAAATTATACATATACACAGAAAGGTCAAATTCTTTAGCTTTTTGCTTTTATTTTCTCTCAGGTTGTCTTCCTAGGAGCTCCTTTTGACTCTCATTTATCCGTTAGTAAAGGGAAACAAAGTGACATTCAAAGGAGTGAAATTAACAAGAACATGTGTCCATGTAGTGTTTATCACTTCATGAATATTAGGATATCCTATGAAGCATGGTCATTGACATAGAAAACAGACATGATTCATGATTCAATACAGACACATCAACATGGCAGATCATGTAAGAGGACACAACAACATGACACGAATACAACAATGAATATATGCATATTTTCTCAGAATTGTTTTATTTTGTGCAGTTTAGAATTCCTATGATCATCATATAAAATTTATAAGAAACAAAATTCCATTAATATTGGTAGCACAGTTCACAAAAATGCTTCAAACATGTATAAAAAACCACCAAAGAGTAAATCAAGGATCCAATCTATAGACATACTCCTCATTTTTGCCTTTTGAGAAGAACCCGCATTTGTGCTTTAGATCTCGCAAGTAAGATATAAGCTCGTCCGACAACCCTCTGCTTTCATTACCCATTTCTTCCTCTAGTGATTGCAATTGCTAAATACAGTAGATCAGAGTTCAGTTGAATTGAGGAATATATAACATATATCTAAAAGATGTAGACAATTAATTAGATGAATCATTGCAAATGAAAACTAAAACGACAGTCTGCACCGGCCATTTTTGGTAGAGTTCACCAACCATTTTTGGTAGAGTCTATCAATGAGGCCCTAAACTAAATTCTTGAATGGTCAGTTCAACAATCACATTTGCTGGAGATCGACATGTCTTATATGATAGTAGAAAATGTCTGAACCTTTAACTATGTACAATCATGTCTGTAATCACTTGCTAAAAAATCATGACTGTAATCCGGCAATTGCAAACAGACAAGTTTCTCCCAATTTGTAGGTTGGAATTGTTCATTGTCGTCTATATGTTTCTTCCTATACAGAACACCACAGACTCCATATCAAACATGCACAACAATACTGAGCATCACACAGCAAGAAAATATTATCAAACAAGATTAGAGATGTCCAGGTGATTGTTCAGAGTTATGTAGTCCAGCTAATCCACCTATAGAAGTTCCAAGTCTTTTAGATATCATCTGCAAGTAGGACATGCTAATATAACAGTCTAAATGGAAAGATGGGTTTCTCCATGTTTTCTTTAGAATCGGTAATAATACATTGTTTTTAATTTCAGTCTTTCATGTTAGCTGTTACACCCACTGAAAACAAACTGAAAGTTCAAAATCAATTTAGAAGCCAGAAATGTCCCTGAGAAACAGATGTTTGCATGTAAAGGAAATTTTGAAGCCTTTCAAGGGACTGGGTCTCTCGAACACAGACTAGCATACCTCATAAGACATTTGATCTGGGTCAATGCTGTCTTGCCTTGTGTCCTGCATATCGCAAAACAATTACCTCAGATGCATGATGCAACACCAGGAATTGTGATTATAAAGAAGGATGGAAGGAAAAACAATGAACCTGTCCAGGAGAGTCGGCAGAAGAAGATCCACCAGACATTTGATCTGAAATGTTTTCTGCTATAAGAATCATATGAGCATAAATTATTTTATAAATAAAATTTTGAGAATAATATGACAAAAATTATTACATAAAGTAAAGATTATGAATAATGTGAGAAAACTTTATTTTTATGATAATAATCACTATGTAATTATGTAAAAACCTGTTTATTAGGAGGACCAACTATACTGTTATAAAACTTTTCTAGATTTCATACAAGTAATAAAGTACTATTCTTCTCTTTAATGAACAAAATATAGCTTTTCATCTATCAAACTAGAGAATTATCCTCATAAATTTCATGGTTGTAATGATATGCTTAAATCCCCTGCATCTTCATAGAACCAGCAACCAGTTGGTTCTGCCATTGCTATGATTGCAGCATAAGAATAGAAATCATAAATACAGTAAGCAGTTAAATCTGATATTTTTAGAGGCAGATTTGAACAAAAATTCACCAGCTTCTGACTGATTTAATGCACTGAAAGATGCATCGGCAGGCAAATTATCCAGTATTTCATACTGCTGAGCTATAGCTTCATCAGACGTGAATTGTAATAGGATATCAGTGGTCACTGAACTGCTGCCACCATGACTGCTCTGGCCAATCTCATGATTGGATCTAGATTCATTAACCGAAGCATGGCATTGATGTTCATGAGGATTTTTCTGGAATGACTGATAAACTATTTCCTGCAGAGAATAGTTGCATGAAGAAGTTACTTGGTGATAAGTCCAACTCATTTCAAGCTGTGGAACATCAAATTATTAGGTTTCCTCCCCGCAAAAATTGCACCACGAATTAGTGACATTATAGTGTTTCTTACTTAGCTGATTACTATAATAACCATCATTGCAGTGTCTCTCAAGTAAGAAGATAATTTCATATGCCAGTCTGCTTTCTAAAAGACTCGGCAGAATATGAAGTAATCCAAAAGTTTGGGTAAAAATCCAGGCACAAACATGGCACTGATATATAAAACAATTCTTCTTAATATCTACATTTATTTTCTAATTATATATCTAAAAAACAATGATGAGCTATATGATCAATGATTTTTAGAAAAAAAAAATATAACAGGTTTTTCTCAGAGGCTGGATTTGTCAGTGGTTCAACAGGTTGACCTGCTTGATCCAATTGTGTGTTAAAAATGATGAAACTGCAGAGTTTTCTCATTCCGATGGTGTGGGTTGTTGGACTGAATAGGCTCATGTAAATGTTTCCCCTTCTAACATCTGTTGCAGTCTGGTTTCCCTTGAAAAATGAGAAAACAAGGGAAGGAAGAAAAAAAGAAGAAGAAAACATGCCCCTATCAACTCTCTTTTCCATAGGTCAATGTTTTTAACTTTTCTATGATCTTTTTCCTTTTTAAAAAAATCAAAACAAAAATTTATTAAGTTCAGGAGGACAGACATCTCCATCAATAAGAGGAACAGGCGAAAGAATAGGAACAGTGGATGAGGCAAGGTGATGGACATTTTAGCCTCCGGATTGTCTTCTGTGATGCATTACATTTGGCAATGGACAATAATAGTAGTCCAATATAGGATTGAGTATAGCATATTAAATATAGTTTTACGTCACGGAGGGAAATTAGATTAGCCTCATAGACAAGGAGAGAAAATATATGAAGTTGTGAACCATATATGGCTGAACCTTAGATGCCATGCATGAGTAACCAATCTAAAAGTAGGGAAAATAGAAGTCAGCAGAAGACCCACCTGAACTGCAAGATCATCAAAATCCAGAAGAAATTCTTCAGAGATCTCTTCTGAGACATTTGGTACCGTAGTGTGTAGACGGTGAATCGTCACATCCTGCTTCTCAACAATCTGATGTTCCATCGTCATGATGGCCACCTTGATCAAAGGTCCCCCCCGGTTCTGAAGGATTATTAGCTAAAATTTTATCAATTGCAATAAGTGACACAAAAAGACATGCACCTCAGTTTTGAAAAGAACCTTCCGTGATGTAGTATATTTGAAGATTACAACACCAGAAATATTATACAGTAACTTCACCGTTAAGTTGATTTACATAGACATTATTAGTCTTTCTCGACATGGTATGTAGTACAAAATGAGTTTTATACACCAACAAAGAGAGGGCAACCTGAGACCTATAAATAAATATACAACTGCCATATTTACGTTAATCCTCACAGTCAAAACCATATTGCAAACATGAAAAGGAAAAAGCCTGATAGAGTTCAATCAATTCTGACATTGAATCAGGAAGAGGAGAAAATTTGATGACAGATTAAAAAGCAACAACAAGAAACAAAGAGGTAATCAACTAGTCTTTCCTAAATAATTTCATACTCTCTAATTCAGCTTATGCATACAATCGTAGTATCCTGGTTTCATGCAAAGTTATACTTTGGTATCTCAAAATTGGCATTATCATTTGTCAATATTAATTGGTAAAATATTTGCATAAGGTAAGAAAGTTTGAACCCTGGGTGTGAATGAGAATTATTCTAGTGATTGTTAGTCCTCACAAGGCTCCATACACATACCAAGATAAAGTATTTTCCCAAATATTTGGCAGGGATAACCTAACCTTCAGTTGAGAATAGGTCTTCCATGCTCTGGATGTTCAAACCTATGATGAAAGACCTCTGCAAAACATCTCAGACATGTTCTTGATTCGAACTGTTTGATTCATCTTCCAATTCGATTTGTATTCATATAGCACAAAATTCTGCCAACTTACTCCTCAAGAAGAAAAGAGAAGACAAACGAATTAACCAATTAGGATGCTGCACATTCCAAAGTAAAATATAGAAAAACCTTTTCTTGATTGTTTTCTGCTGAGCCTTTTTAACTCATTGTTGCTTCCTGACATATCAATCACATCAAGAAAACACCAACTAAAGAACCAATCTAATGGTTGAACCAAAGATTATAACGAAGTTGTGATCATCTTCTACCCAAGAAACAAAGATTGGTGCAACAAAAATAAGAAAAGGAATTCCAGATGACACCACAAGAAGGCATCAAATTCACTTTTTTAGATCAATCAGTTGTTCTTGAAGACTCGGAGATCATTCAGGATGGAACTTAGATGAGAAGGAAGCTCACCTTGTCTGATGGGTCTTCTTCTCTTGTTAGCCGCTCTGCTCTCTTCCTGTAGAAGAATTCTGAGGGTTTTATATGTCCATATATATATATATATATAGACAGAGAGAAAGAGAGAGGGAGTGGTGGATGGCGGGCGTCAAGTGGGCCGTGGGAACCACGGCGTCCTCATCGCTAAGAGCGAGTAAGATACTCGCTCTTCCTTTGGCTTCTTCCACCGTGGCCGCCCTGCACCGGCCACCTGCGTGGCGCCATCCGATAGGTTCCGTGATCCCCCTGGTTGGACTTCGTCCTCCATGCCCACTGTTGACGTGTCTCGGGGAACCCGAGCTGGCCGTCCGTTCCAATTGCACTTTCCAAGAGACGACCATTGCCAAGTCAAAGTCTTTCTTCTTGGGACCACTTCTGTCATCATCTTGTGGCCATGGGAGCAAGTTTGGGATTGAAGCAAATCCAAGAAGACGACTTGGGGGGGTCAACAGTCTATCTATTGTATATTGTAGGAGGTGATAAGATTAATCATGTGATGCATTTACACAACTGAGGTGAGGAAGAACATGCCTCATGTTCATAGCCATTCTCTGGCTCCCTCTGTATCTTTGTGCCGAGCACTAATTTTGACCAGGACCATCAGAGTCTTCTAGTAGCCATATGAATGATGATGGATCATAAGAGCATTTATTATGGCTGATTGAACTGTCTAAACATCAGGAAAACAACATATTATGGAATATGTCAGGGTACCATTCTTTTACCTTCTCCTAGAAGAAACCAGACTTCATGAAAGACTGGTCCACAGCCATAATTCTGCTGTTTCAAGATTGATGAGACTAGCACATGGAAATCCTGTCAATTAAGTACCAAAAAAATCCTTTGATGGTCTTGAACTCATTGATGAGTGACCACATGAGTGATGAAAGCATCAAGGGATGGGATGATCTAAAAAACAAATGACTGACTTGGTCAATGTAATTAATGGATGGATGAAGGTGTCAGCTGGAATTAGAATCAATCTAACCAGGGGAGTGTATCCACTCAGATAATATCTGCTCTGTGCAGTTGTCTATTAAAATGTTTATTGCTAACTGGTTATAGAGAACTGATCTCTCTCTATTTGTTACAACACAATAAACATCTCCAAGGCTTTAGTCATCTGTTTCTCTTCCTACTTTTTAGCTTGTACTAAAAAAGCATGAGAGTGTTTGAACAGATTGGTACTCTGGAAGATAAGAAACATGCTTTTTTGTAGCTCACTAATAGCATATCTGATAGATGACTGAGTTCTAAGACCATTCATAGATTTTCCATCATTTCTTCCCTTTTTTAGCACAATCTGTTCTACTTTTTAGCTTGTACTTCAAAAACATGGGAGTTTTTGAACAGATTGTACTCTGGAAGATAAGAAACATGCCTTTTTGTAGCTCACTAATAGCATAACTGATAGGTGACTTGTAAGGCCATTCATAGATTTTCCATCATTTCTTGTCTTGTAAGAATGTCATGTGTAGTGAAATTACAGTAAAGAGAGCATTTCAAGCATCATGTGTTAATATAATTTTCATTGGATGGTCCAAAAAGAAGATCTTTAGTTTGGCTGACATACCACTTTGTGGAACAGGTTAGGATAGGAGTGAGAAACTGACAATTCTTGTTCTAAAATTGGATTCAGGCCAATGAATGGAACAGGTTGCAATTTATAGGATTTGTAAGATGATAATATTTCTATGTAATCTGATCAGCATATCCTATATATGAGACCACCACATCTGATCACAGAACCAGAAAAGAAGGCATGTGAAGCTTCAAGACAAATAGAAACAACTGCTCTTATTCATTTATTAGTGTTACAGCAATCAATATGAAGTGATGACAAAAGATACACTGTAGGAAATAATCAAAGAATATTCTAACATCTTCTTCATTCATATTCTAACTAAACCAAATTACAATCATTTTCTGACTTCTGTAGCATGAATGATGAACCTCAGCAACAAAAGAATTTAAAGAATCACCAAAGAAGAAAAAGCCCAGAAAAGAATGTCTATATGGTTTGTAAGTGGAAAAAGAATGGACCTTTCATGTCTGTAAGAGTATAAAGAATATGTCTGTATGAGACCTGTTGAGGAAGAAGCACCAAGTCATGCAGGAGGAATCCACTAGTTTGGTTGAGACGTAGAGGAGCCGCCTGCAACATCTGTAGGAGCCCATGCAGAGACTGTGTACAGAGGCTGATCTGACCACCTGAGAGTGAGTCCATCACCTTCTTCCCCTTGGTTGTCTATGGCGTACTTGTCGCAGGAGTACATCCTCAGTATCATACGACTCTGAAGCATCTCCCTTTCTCCGATGCCCAGGCATTTGAACCCGCCGTCCTCCATCAGCTTCCTCCACCTATCGAAGTTCTCGTGACGCTCGGTTCTTTCGCCTCCTTCACATGCAACGGCGTTTCTGATCTCTCTGGCAAACACCTGCTCGACCTTGATCCTGGCCGGGCTGTCCCTGGGCAGAGCGTAGTCCATGGAATCAAAGATGGCCGCGTAGTAGCTGAGTGATCTGGAGAACCTTGTCTCCCAGTTAGGCTCGTTGTGCTTCGCTTCTTGTTCCGCCATGACGACGATCTCCGGGCGCGTGCTTCTTATCAGGCCCAGCAAGTCCATGAAGGCCTTGCCGCTCTCGTCGGAGAGTGCCTTGTGCATCGTCAGAACACAATTCACCGCGACGCACTCCTCCCTCTTCACATGAAGCATCCACAGCCGCACGTCTTCCAACCTGTCCGCCACTGCGTGGAACTCGAAAGGGAGGTTGAGTGACTCTGCCAGCCTTGCGAGCGCGGCGCCTGTGTCCTGGAGGTCCTGCCTCGACTCGCCGACGCCGGTGATCCGGAGGTGGCTCGGAGGACTGGGCCTGGAAGCTAAGCTCTGGAGTAAACTAGGCCACTGGAGGCCCTGCTTGATGTCTAAGTCTATGATGTGCACTCTGTCTCTTCCCTCGAATGCCTTCAGCAGCCTCTCGTTCATGGTGAAGTGGAGAAATTTCAGGACTGGGGTGACGCAGTTGAGGAGGCGCAGCGCTACGGCGTCGTCGTCCTCGGTCGGGTGGACGAGGGTCTTCGGTGGAGCAATGGAGAAGATGTGGGGGCGGAGCTTCACGACTCGGAGCGCCAAGGCCTCGGTATAGTAGGCGACCACTCGATGGAGAGGGGTTCCCAGTGGGGTGGCCGTCTCTCCTAGCCTGGCCAAGAAGAAGGTCATGCCTTCGTAGTTTCCCGAGCTAATGGACTCCGCACACGACGTGAGCAAGCTGAGGAGTTCGAGGCCCTGCTGCTCCGCCGAGCTACCCTCTCCTTCGCCTCCTGCTGCACCAGCGACGCCCGAAGAAGAAGGCATCCGGGACCCGTTCGACGCCACATTGCCTGAAGAATCCTTGGTTGGCTCAGGAGAAGAAGCGTATGCGGTCGACGACGTACTTGAATCGGACTGCGACTTGTCGTTTGGATCTTCGCCTGGGCTCAGGCCATCATTCTCGGGACCAGCGGATCCTCCTACCAAAGCATGGCTCGTGGAGGCCGGAAGCGGAAAGCTTGCTGCGTTGGGCACAAGAAACACCTTGTCCTCTTCCACCGGCGGAGGCTCTTGGGTGGACCGAGGGAACCACACCTCGCCGTCAACTTCAACTAATCCCGAAACTCCGCCACCGGTCCTCGTCCTCTTGGCTCGGTCGTCGTCGCACGAACCCCTCTCGTGGAATCTCTTCAAGCTCCTCCTCCGATCCCAGGGTCTGCCGTGGCCTTCATCAATCCCTCCCCACGAGGGCGTTTGTGCCGCCATGGAGGAAGTTGTCACCGGGTTGCGCCTAAAGGAGCAACTGCTCCGCCGGGCCTCCGCCGGCGGTGGCTTCTCAACCGACAGGGCCATCCGCAGGGGGTCCTTCCGGGAGGAGAAGCCACAGGGCAGGTCGAGCCGCTGGGTGCCCATCTTCTGCTGCGGATGGCAATGCTTGTCCTGCAGCTGGAAATGGCACGATTGCAACTGCACGGAAGCGTCGATCCTCAACTTGTGCCTCGGCGACAGCAGCGTCGACGAGCACCCAGCCAACATCCTCCTGCTCCAACTCTGGTTCTCGTTCAGATAAAATCGACGCAACCTCCACCTATCTTTCTACAAGAAATGTTACCTTCAAGAACTCAGAAGAATCAAAGAATGCGGCAAAGAAGGATCTTTCAGTCCCAAGAAAACAGAGGACAAGCTCGAAGTTGGAAAGAAAGACGGGAGTTTTGGAGACCAAGTTGGAAGACCGGGAAACCTCTGTGAAAGAATCAAAGAATAGTTAGAAGAAGAGCAAACGAGAACAAATCTTTATCAGAAATCATCACATAGAGGAACCGATCACGACGGAGCCGTGGACATCCCACAGCCAAGCTGGTGCGGATTCCCTGGTCATCAAAGAATCCTCTGAGCCACCACCGGGCATCTCGGCCACCTCCATGATCCGAGCAAGCAAAAACCAAAACAAATAAGATTCTTGATTTGTTCTTCCTCTCCTTCTTCCTCCTCCTCTTCCTCTTCCGCGCTGCTGCTCCTCCTTCCGTTCCCTCCTGCTGCTCTGCTACTGTGCCGGGTGAGTGAGTGCCACGGTCTTCACCGGGCCAGGGAAAAAACGCCAACGGTCAGCGAGGTGGGATTCCCGGGACTGCGCCGGCTTAACGACGGCCGACCGTCCGATTCGGATCGGACGGACAGGAAGCGCGTTCCATTTCGACCGTTGGGGTAATAATCACGCCTGTTGCCGATATGACCGTTGCGGGGAATCTGAAGAGGTGCATGGACCGTCGGCAGGTGACTGTACCGCGCGCGGCGTGACTCACACGTGCGCCTCCTCCGGTACCGTTGCGATGCCAGGGGATCGACGCAGGATCGCCTGCGGCGTTACCAACACCGGTCGGTAGGAGTCCGACTAGTAATTAACTGACGCGTAAGGCGACGTGCTCGCAATTGATGGTTGAGGAAATTGCACGATTAGTTTCCTAATTTGACGAATATTTCGATTGGGTTCCTAAATCGATGTTTGGGTCGAGCCGTGTCTCTCTATAATGGAACACATAGGTTCCATTAAGAACGTGTTTTGCCTAACAAGACATTTATGTGTCAATTGAGAGCAAACAAGAGCAACAACTATTATCCTTTGTGGCGAATAAGGATTGCGTATCACTGACATGACTTATGTAAGTTATGAATAAATGGTGTATGTCCAACCGCAATATAGAGAATTTATCTTTATAATGCTTTCCCTGCTTAGTCTTTGTGCGTGCGTCTGTCGTCCCACATAAAAATCTAATCATCATCGTATTAGCAACGCATCCTCATCAGCATCATCAGTCACCGTGTCGGCAACGCATCAATCAACACGTGCACAGATGATCAAGCTATTGGTGCATCGATGCGGCTCACAACTCGTGCGATGGAACGAAAGAAGCACCTGCACGCACATGGAATCTTTGGACTCCCCCACTTATTAATCTAGTACCGCTAAAATTGCATTCTACACAGCACGAATTAGATCTACAGCTGCACACTTCTTCGCGGTCCAGTTGTCGTCACGTGAGTCACGTGAGCGATCCGTCCCGGTCTCCAACACCCCCTTCGGCTCCATGGCACGCCCTCCTCACCGGCCGAGGGCAATACACCACCCATGACCGCTGATGGCGCTCCGGCGAGATGTCCTCTTTCGTGTCCGACGCCGGATCCGACGGCTCTGACTTCACCTCCGGCGTTGGATCCTCGGCCTTGTCCTCCTCCCTCGCCCGCTTCCCTCCGATCGACACCCCGAAGAGCCGCGCGCTCGTCATCTCCTCCGCCTTCACAGCCCCTTCCACCTCCATCCCCGTTTCCGTCTCCGCCTCCTGCAGCTCCTCCTCCTCATCTTCCTCCTCCAGCTCCTCCTCCTCTCGCCTCGCCGGCATAAGCTCCAGAACCGTCGACGGCGGAGGCGGGGCCTCCGCCGCCCTCCCGCCGCCGCCCTCGTCCGCGTACTTCGATATCAGGACCGAGATGTGGCTGCACAAGCTCTTCATCTGGGCGAGCTCGCGGGAGAGCCGCGTGTTCTCCTTCCTCAGCCTCTCGTTCTCCTCCGTCAGCTCCACCGAGCTGCTGGATCCGGCGGCCACGGAAGGAGGCGGCCCGGGAGAGGAGTTCGACGAGAGGACCTGCTCCTCCCCCGAGTTCGCCGGTGACCCTGCCCGATTTACTGGAACAGACACCGCGGCCGGCCCCGCCACGGCCGGGGCGGCTTGGGTTATCTTGCGGCGGTGGATATCGCAAAGGAGGCGCTTTTCGCCTCTTCGGAAGCAATCGTTGGCGAACTCCCACCGATCGGGCACAATCTTCCGAAATCCCTACCAAATAAATCTCCTAAAAATCAATAAAAACCGGAAATTTACCACGAAGAGGGGAAAAAAAAAGTCCAATCTTGCAATCGGGACCGACATAGGTGTTCAGCTGGCGGACGAAGCTGGAGAAATTGTTGTGCTTGAAGTACTTGGGGAGGAGATCGCGGGCGAACTCAGCGGGCCGCCACACCACGAAAGTCGACCCATCCTCGTTCCACGATATCATGTCGTCCACCGACGGATCGTCCACGAGCTGGTACGTCTTTGTAAGGAAAGGCGTCGGGAGCGACCGCTGTCCATCCGGCGACACCTGCTCGGCGGCCTTCTCGGCGGCGGCGGAAGGCAAGGGCGGAGGCGCCATCGCCGCCGGATCACCACCCGAAAGGTTCTCGATTTCTCTGGAAGGAAGACCAAGTTTTGGGTGGAAGAAAAGGAAGGGTGGGAATACCGGGTAGGGCGGAAACCTTATAGGCGCTTCCAGAAGGTTCTGTTCCGGATAATATTAAATGGGGGAAGGCGGAAGAAAGGGGTGGCGTAGAGCAGTGGGGGCAGATCGGCCATATCGGAGGGGGAGATGGACGGCGCATGATTAACTGGCGCGGTGATGCCTTTTTGTGATGGAGACAGGTGGCGGGAAGGGTGCGGGGAGCTTCGACAAGAAGAGGAGGGCTACGGACGCGTGTCGACAGATCATGGGTCGAGCACAACGATCCCGATAAGGTAGGAAAGGACCAGGTTTCGGATCTTTTCAAGAGTTCAGATCGGAAACAACGGGGCGAGACGCGGTTAGGAAGGCAAGCGTAGGGATGGTGTGCAACAAGGTGTTTACCATGCAAATTACAACCGTCTCCATCGCGGTCCATTCCAACGTCAAGCTACCTCTAAACAAATGGCTGCTATTGTGCCACAATTAGAATCTCTTTATTATATACATTGCCATTTGCTTTTGGATTCTAATTGTAGCACAGCAGATCAATAAGATGCATGATAAGATCTTAAATTGATGTATCAATATAGGACATGACATAAATCCTTGATCAATACTTCATCTAGACTATGTTGACAAGGTTACCATGGAATTAATGTTTTTGGTCAATGGAAAGTGTTTGTGATGCAAGTAATCATAATCATGAAAGCATTTGACAAAAAGAGGTGGTTCTTTAGAAACTGTGAGTGTGATGACTTCAAGATCAGGCAAAAGAGAAAAAAGAGAGTATAAAGCAAGTTTGGATGACTTACGAGCACTACAAAAGGAGAGGCATGTCCACCCCCCGGAGAGCGACGGCTCAAAGAATCTGAATGCATCTTGTCTATGTAAAGCAACTTCGAATAACTTTGCCACAAAAGTTGCGCTGAAAATAAATCATTAAAGATAATAACTAAATGCAGATCTCAAATCAAAAATCATTAAGAAGTCACTAGGAGAGTCAAGTCTCTTAGTAGACATATTGGATGATAAATAACAATGACTAATACTTCAGCCTCCCTACTGGCATAGAAAAAGTTTTCATGAGCTAATCAAATTGTAATTTCTTGACAATTCAGGGTCAACTATATAGATTTTTTTTCAACCATTAAACTCTTATAGACTATAATAGTAACAAGCCATATTTTTCAATTATTTGGAGTCGGTCGCTAGACTCTACGGAAAAAAAATTAAGAATAGTTTCTAGTAAATATAATTCTGTACAAGCTCATATATGTATAAAAAAATAAAAATGAAACCTATATTTGGTTGCTGGTAGATCAAAAACGGTAGAAGCTGTCTCTATTGCTTAATGATTTGAAGCTAAAATACAGAAGAATTTGAACCTTAATATAAAAGCTTCAAATCTAAAATATAGAGGAGTAAGGATTTGAAGCTTAATGAGAAGAAGCTGTCTCTATTGCTTGACACATCTAGTTGAAATAAAACATGATTTATTAGTAGATGCAAATGGGATAGTGGTTTTAGGGTTCTATAGTCGTCTTGTCAGGTGTAATCCTGCTTGATACTGCTCATGTTCCCCATTTTGATGTGTAGAATGAGCTCAACTGAGAAGATCAACCATCAATTTGCATCATGGAGTCTCTCATCAGGTCTGGTTGAAAACCTGAAGCTCTTTGAAGCTATGTGCTACAATTATAAGTTTCTGACAATTCTCCTAACTCTGATATTGATTCAGCTTTCTACTCTGATGTTGTATGAGAATGTGAATTATCTGTTCTATGATGTCTGGGCATGTCCTTTCCAACATAATTGTTTTACGATCTCTTCACCCAATTTCATCTTCTCCTTGTATTATTCTCTATTGACCTGAAATTATTTTTTGATATCTCAAACATGGTCTGTAGTATCGAACTGTACCACCTGGTACGGGCGATATGTACCGATCCGATAGGTTGTCGGTACGCGGACCGCTTGTTAACGGTTCGAGTGCACTATAGTACTGTAACAGTGCACTGTACTCGGCACACATGAGTATACCGCTCGGTACACCTGGGTGTACCGCTCGGTATACCGTACCGTACCGGTACCGAGCCCAGGTCGAAACACTGATACGATACGGTATTGCGAACCTTGATCTCAAATCTACCGATCAACAAAATTTAATGAAGCACACGGGTGAATTCATTGAGAAACATAAGATAAATTCTTTCAGAATTCAAATCTTAAAACAATTATTGATCTTAATGCATAATTAGCAGGATTACATTAGACTTAGCAGATGAAAACACTTTAATAAAGAGTATTTATCAGATAATAACATTTAACTTACTAGTACCAACACAATAAATGGACCACAATGATAAGGACAAGCTGATCAAAGTTCAGTTTCTAGGTCCTTCTATTCAGATTCCAAGATTAGGACCAATGACCATAAGGATGATCATTTCTTTTTTTGTCACACCGTGCTCTGAAAGCAACATTTGTAACATAGGGGCATAAACATGATAAAATGAATTTAATATTGGAACCACATGTTGGAGATATTATGTTTAAATTGACATAATGGCATAGCCATCACATAATGGCATGGAGTATATAGGTATTAAATATCAAAACATCAACTTTGTGGGATTTGTCAATTTTGGAGAGAGTTCCATAAGTTCTACAGTTGCCACATAATTATGGTAAGAAGCACATGACAATCAATCAAATTTAAGCTCAAATATCATACTTTTTCAACAATTATATATATATATATATATATATATATATATATATATATATATATATAACAAATTGTATCCTTCTTTTCCTTTCATCTTTGAAAGCAAAAAAGGCGAGGAAGAAGAATCCTAGATGACAAATTTTAGCAAAGAAGAGATAAAAGTCAATAATCCCCGAAGCAAAGCAGGGTTAATTAAAATATTCATATCAAATTAAGTCCCTAATTTCTTGCTTTTCTTTTAGATTTATCTTCTGAGGCAAAATGGTGGAGAGCAAGAATGCGAAACTTTAACCCAAACAGTGTCAAAGGCCAACCATCCTAGAAGTGGGGCAACTTAAAGATGTTGACTAAAATTCAACAAAAAACAACCAGAGTTGAGAAATCCCTGATATTTAAACAACAATTTGACAGGCCCAGCAAAGTGTTATATCAGATATGCAATCAACAAAATAAGAAGGGATAAGCTGGAACATCCCGTCCCCATAATTATCAAATAACAGAACTTTTGGGTTTTGTTAATCCAAGAAATATGCTAAAAGATTGACAGTGAAGTTCATCAGATGTCAAGAACTAGAAACCAAATGATGCAAATGAATAAGACCAGACCTTGATGAAAATCCTTGCGAAGCGTTTGTTTTTCATCCCTACCAAATATCACACAAGATGCCAATTCAATCTTAGGCCATTTCCATTGATCATCTAATAGTTTCAGAGATCAATATAGGCGAGGCATGCTTTTTGAACAATAAAGATGATGTAGCCATCGAGTCTGATCAAGTAGTTCTTAGATGAACCTAATACCGACTCTTTTGTAGGTTGCAGCAAAATAATCTGGAACACTCCTTAAAGTTGGCAAGCACCAAAGAAAAGAAGGCACCTCTGATTGTGTCCAACTAATAAGCAATGATGGTTGCAGGACCAACATCCACAAGACCACAAGAACAAAGATCATAACATGAATTCACCAAATGCAAGAACTATCACAAGAAGGATGCAAATCAAGAATTGCTTTACCTGATATTCAAGATGTAAACCTCATATGAAATGCTAAAGTTGCACATCTTGCAGGTAGAACAACATCTTCCACCGATGTCAACAAACAGGGCACTTTTAACGATCATCGACACATAAATAGCCTACAGAGTGAATGCAGGGAGGGGATGACTAACAAGAAATTAGTGATACGAACACAAGCAAGAGTTATCTACTTGATCGATGGGAATCATTGTTATCTACGTGAACAGGCAAGAGTTCGATAAGAGCTTTACCGGAAAAGCGATAACGTCGTGAAGGCGGACATGGTGTCGGCCATTGCTGTAGCTGCAAACTCGAAGCCCGACCCATCCTTGCAATGGCGGCAAAACGATGCCCTATGGGGGTGTTGTTGAACTCATGGGCCTATGGGCCGTATGAGGACCGGCCGTTGAACCGGATGATGCCTGGCTCGGTCGACTGCCGAGTCGTATGAGTCGACTCGGTGAGATGTCGCAGGGCCAAAAAAGGGCGCGATCTTTTCGCAGACGCCCGACCCCGAACACCAATCGGGCGAACCCTAGCTAAGGAGTGAAGCTCGCTGCTGCCGGCGAGATTCTCGAGCCGCTCGTCGTCCGCCCGCCGCCTTCCGGATTTCTCAAGCCGATCTTTCACGTACATTCGCCTCTCTCTCTGCCGAGATCAGACCGTCATCGCCCAGCCGTCTCCCTCTGGTACGATCTTCTCTTCTCTCCTCTACTGTCACGTGACCATCACCCTCTCCTCTCTTTTCTTTCTCTTCACCACACACCGTTGCCTGCCCTCTCCCTTTCGTCATCCTCAACTTCCCTGCCGCGTTGTCTCACGAACTAGATGGAACACGGACACCGACGCAGAATTTACTGGTCTTGGAATGCTCTGCATCTCGGCCTTCATGATTCTTTAACCTCAACTAATCATCACAATTTCCTCCTCTTCTCAAATGTACGGAACTTTAAGAAACAGTACAGAATTTGAGCTGCTATTCCCTTGGCAGGTAAAGAACTCAGTTTGCTTTTTCGGTGGGATCTAGGGTTAACTCGCCGGCTCCGCTCGCCATTGCGCATGCACTCAGCCGCATGCCTCGCTCCCTTGGCCAAGATATGTTTCTTCTCCCCCTCCTTCGCCGTACTTCCCTCTGTCCACCGGTCGGAGCCGCCAGATGACCTCTGCCGCTATTGCCATCGCAGGTGCCCTGCAATCCTGAACTGCCTCCCTCCCTCCCTCTCCGTTCTTTGGTAGCAACTAAGATGATGAATGGTTACGCACATTGCTCCAAGTTTGGATTTGTTCTTAGGTATTCCAAGTGAAGCTAGAATCTTTTGTTAGCTAAGTTTTATCTGTCACTTGATTAGGTTTTTTGGATGAATGAATTGACAAACATGGGTATTGCTAGTTCAACAAAATCATCTATTCTATGTCGATGTTCTGAACGAGCATAATGTATCAATGATATTTAAATGGTATAGTCTTATTTTAAATGTTTTATCATTTATTTCATCGTGAGATTTTCTCATTATTGTATGCTTACATGCAGGCCATGCACGTGACATAATTACATGTGTCCATCATATCTTTAATCTACTATCTTTTTGTTTTGCTCATCTACATATAATTATGGATGGCCACAGTTAACATGACTGGTTTTTTATGTATATGTCATCTTTTCGTTCGTTTTTCTATTGTTTTGTAGGACCTTTGTAGGACTTCCTCTTTGAATAAGAAGCATTTTTGAGGTTCTTGCTACTTGTTAAATGGTGGTAGCTGGTGACACATGCAGAGCATGGATAATCACATCTTGTATGGTATGGAAAAATTACCAGTAGTTATTGTGTAATGACATTGATACGTTGCATTTAAATTTCTTTCATTTTATTCTGGTTTAGATATTTACTGCTATTTGCTTGGAACTTTTGATGTGCTTTTCAACTTTTTTTTAATTTAATTGGACTTTCTCTTTTTCTTTCTGTAAGAAGAACAAAATCTTCTTGAGTTTGGCTTTTGCAAGATCAGATCCAAAATTGTTATCCAATTTTGTTGCTTCAGTGATCTTTGGCACCATTTCTCGGACCATGTGCTTCTGATATGCTGGCTCTGACCATATTGCTGCAATACTTATTTGTTCAGCTTCAGTAGGGTCTTTGTGCTATGTAAGACATGGTAGCATCCATTACTTCAGGAAGTTCTAGCCTCAGGCATGTAGTTCAAAGTTAATTATGTATGTGTATCAGTAGGTAACTTCTTATGCACAACATCAAGGTGAGCATACTAGCCATTAAATTTTTTGGTTCCTAGTATTGTCTTGCTAGATTGAGAACATACTGTCAATCTTCTTTTCCTTCTTTCATTGTACACACCAGATAACTGCATTAACACATTATTTATTTGTTTAGCACTGTACATATTGACTTGTGAAGGCTCAGAGTGCTTTGAAAATAATATTCTAGGATGGCACCAGAATCCAGACAAATGGGACTTGTTCAAGTCCCAACCTTGGCAGTTTAGTAGATCGAACATTGTTTTTGATCTTTTGTTTCAATTGTGAATGAAAATTCGAATACCCTTTTTACTGATTATAAAGTTCATGCATCCTTGATGTACTTTTTCCCTATATCCAACATGTGCATGTATATGAGATGACCTCTGGATTTATTTTTGACCAGTCCAAATGTCCTATCTCCTTTCTTTTCTCTTTCAGGTGTACCACAGGTTGAAAATGTTGAAAGTTTCATTAGTAACCTTCACCTGAGCATTTCAAATGGTTTTCCTCATGCAGAACCGGTGTTCTCCTTTAAGACAGATGAAGGGAAACTGGTACTCGTCTCGCCTTATTTGGTATTCTTCCACCAAAATATCTTATATTCTTCCTGATCATGAATCACAGGATTCTCTACTTACCAGGTGCAAGGAATCCTACAAATGCTCCAAGGACACTGCAGTTCTTTGTTTTATTGGGATGAGAAACAGCAAAGATTTTTTGTCAAAGATGGGATTTATGTGTTGCACCTGTCATATACGAGTCTGTACAGTATTCTGAGCCGGTTTTTGTTTGCTGGTACATGCTTGAAGCAAGTTGAATTATATGTTCAGAAGGTGCAGTCCACACATGTTAGAGTCCCCACCCTAAATGCTTTTGCTAATTCTATCACTTCATGGCTTAAGGTTAGCATTTGTTTTTATATTCCAATTTGCAAACTGTACCATTATTTTCTTTCTTCAGTTTAATCTATAATGTTTAAATGTAAAAGCGGCTGCGAGATGTTGCTTTGAAGGAGGAAGTCAACTATGTCAGTTCAGATACTGGACCCACAGCAACTCTACTGGGAATTACTAATTCTTTGTCAAGGTCAACCTATTTATATATACTGGTTTTTTTCATAACATGATAGTATCTAGCTTGAATATTAATGTGTTCTCATGTTGATTTGTGTTATCATTTTGTTACTATACTTGACACTTGCAGAAAAAGGCAAAATTTTATAACTTGAGATATACTTTTTTTTAACCTGATATAAACACAGATACTGTACATACCCTTTTTTGAACTCGCTTATTTTGAATTTTAAAGTTTCTCTCATTATATATTTTAAGATTTATCTCTAGTTACTGTCATCAATTAAAACGATGCCATCCGCAAATAGTATCACAATAATTTCGTTTTGAAGATCATTTGTGAATGGATTAACTCCGGTTTGACCTTTGGTGTAAAAGACAAGATTACCTAAACCTCTCCAGTCTCACCTAAGTTTTTTGCATCAGTAGGTTCTTTATGTTATTTCTTGCAATCACATTAATGTATTGTGCCCATTCTACTTTATTTCACTGTAAAATCACTCGATTGAATTCCTAGAAAACATGTTTTCTAATGTAAATAAAGGCAACCTTTATAGTTGTAGGAGTAAGAACAACCCTTCCTGATCCCACATTGTCAGGAACCTCGTGGACTAGGTCATCATCCTTTTACTTGTAGGATGAAATAGTTTGCATAACTTGGAAAGTTTTATCGTTTATATTTAGGAAGCATATTCTCTCGATTCTTAATGTTCTATTAAATTAAATAAACTAGTTAACATTTCACATTGTTAAATATTTATCTCTTAAACACTTCATACCTTATTATACATTCAGCATAATTATCCGTCATTGTAGTTGCAATATGTATTTTGTTATATATTTACTTTTTCTGTTCTTTCAAGACCTGAATTCTGTTACAATATCTCTTCTCTCTGCTTCCATAAGCGCTTCATCTCGTGCTTTCAGTCAGGAAGCTTCTTGACCTGAGGATTCACTTGTTTCTGTCTTTAGAAATGGTTCTTATTATTCAGTGTCCTTCAAAACATCAGATCTGTTGCTCAGAATTTGGTCATGATTGGCTCTTTCACTTGTCAAGTCATTATGATGGTTTTTAGTTAATATGTGGAAATAATTGACCTGTGAAATGATTTAGGTCTTTTAACATATACTGAAAATAATAAAATATTCTGTTACTTCTATCTTGCTTTTCATATAATTTATCAGATCTAAAAGTGGCAATTGTCTAGTCCATTAATATGGTTTTTCCTATTACCGATCTTAAATTTCATATGATATACGATTTATGGTGCGAATGAGGTTTAAAATAATGAAGGACATGACAACCAAGCATCATTGCTCTAACATGTTTAGTGACCAATAATTTTGCTTTTTAGCACTATGCGTATACTCAGCTCACTTAAGGCACCAATTTGCAGTCTTTGTGCAGGGGCAGAGGTTCTTCTTCAAGTTGTCTATGGAGCAATTCCAGTGACATATCTTCAAACATCCATACCAGCTAGTGAACTGGCAGTTCAGATTCTCAACCATCTTTTCAAAAAGTTGAATGAACTCTGTCTTGTACAAGGTGGCAAGGTTGCGGAATAATCATTATCCAATTTTCTTTCTAGCATCCCCCATTAAGTTTATGCAATTTAATTTAGAGGAGTCGTGCTAAAATAACAGGAGGAAGCATACCATATGCTGCTTTTCTTATTTACCGAAAGCTTGTTGCCATATCTTGAGGTGCTTGACTCATGGCTCTATGATGGAATTCTTGATGACCCTTTTGAGGAGGTAGTTGCTTTTGATTGTTTATCTATTTATTAATTTTCTGCAGAGCATTCTATGATATTCAGACTGCTAACTAAGGTGATGTTAAGAAGGGATTATCCATGGTCGATATAGGCATGAATCATCTATATGCCACTGTTTTCATTATTTGGTTTGCCATATCAGTATGAGGCCTTAATTTACTCTAACAAAATCATCTATCTTTAAATGATATTTTCTTATTTAGTTAGTTTCAACATTCAATGCTCTTTTGCTTATGATGCATTTACTTCTCAAAAGATTGATGCCTTACTGTGCTTAAGGGAGGATGAGAAATTTTTTTACATGCTATATGTTGTTGAAGAGGAAGGAGAATTGATTGAGAGAGCTAGAAATTGTTCATGCTTCATCAATTGATTGTTTGAATGTTACATATTATCTTGTTCCAGGAAGCTAAGTTGCCTCATTCACATGATATGCATCCTGGTTACTTTTTGTTGACAGCATATTTTTGGATTGAAAAGAGCATTGTGGATAAATGAAATTTCTTTTTTTCAAGTGTATCTTGACTAGTTTCTTATTTTTTTGTGTTATTTGAGCTTCATGGCAGATGTTTTTTTATGCCAATGATGGAGTTGCCATTGATCAACCAGCATTTTGGGAGATGAGCTATCTTCTAAGAGAAGGGAGATGGAGGAAATTAAAATCTAATCATGGCCTGGGGACTGAGAATGTGTCCAATGGCAAAGCCAGAAGAAAAATGAGTGATCAGGAGCCCATTTCAGTGTCTACCACTGCAGGAGGGAGAGAACATTCTGATATTGATGATGTAGCATGTCCTATATTCCTCAAGGACATGGCTAAGGCTATTGTATCTGCTGGGAAATCTTTGCAATTGGTCAGACACGTTCAAGACGAGAACATTCTCCTATCATATGACAGCAAAGTATCTGGATGTTGCAAAACATCAAAGGGACTGGAAATGGGCCCTCAGACGTCTGATCGTCAAGGCCATCCTAAAATTACTAGGTCTGACATGGTTGAAGATGAAAATGTGAATTGTGATTATACTGATGAACAGTCTATCTTCCATTTTCATGAGACTAATCAGACACGGGTTATGGGATTTTTGACATTGCCCGAAATATTCTTGGTATCAATGGTGGGTTTGCTAGGTGATAATGATCAGACTTACAAGTATTTAAGGATGTCATCCCCCAAAATTTATCAGATATGTGAACCTTTTTTGTTGAAATGTAACATGGGACTGGGAATTCAAGATGGTGAACATACTGCACCCACCTGTGGAAAAACATGGCAAAAGTTCTTAGCTGATGTTGTATACAGGAGGGGACACAGAGACATTAATAGAGAGGATTATGCTGACTGTAAAACGAGCTTTTCAGTCTCTTCTTTTGACTCAGAAGGAACAGAAAAGGCTGCAGAACTTCACAGAGAGAACTGGCAAGATGACGAGTCTGTTAGCTTGTTAGGAAAGACTATTCTTAACTCTTTGTGCCCCGGAAATCCCGTAATAACTGTAAGCAGAGAGTTTCTTAGAAAGAATATGTCCTCTTGGAATGAGCTTAATATATCAAAAAATTATCATCTTCCTCCAATTAATGATGAAAAATTAAGAGAGAACATCTTCAGTGATAGATATCTAGATGCAAGGATGGTTGGGGATCCTTTGAGCAAAGGAGCCCTGCCTAGACTTGGTAGAACTGATTATGCTTTTGGTTTTCAATTTGATGAATGGGAACACATACGCAGGCAAGATGATGAAAGAACTTTGGAAACTTTGTATGCTCTTCCTACTCTTCTTCCTTGTTTGCAGGTACCTCAGTTTGTTCTATATATTCCTTTTCAGATTTATGTAATCGAACTTGCTGCTGAAACAATATTTGTAAAAGCAGGAAAGCAGTGCCGTTTCAGAGCTGCTGCCTTTTCAGAAGAATAGTACCCTTGCATCAAGGATCCTCAAATGGATTCAGAGTAACAAAGTGAAGGACACATTACAACCTGCAGTGATCATCCAGGAATGCCTTGCTGTTTACATCAGGGAACAGGTTAGTAGCTTGCTACTCTTTTGAGTTTTTACTCATATGCTGCTAAGATGTCTTGTTACATTCTAGGTGGATCATGTGGGTAAGCATATGTTGTTGAGGCTTATGAATGATTGGAAATTACTGGACGAGCTTGGAGTGTTACGGGCTATTTATTTATTAGGCTCGGGTAAGTGGTTTAGGGGTTTGCCTGGCTTACTAATACATGTACATTATAGACATGCCCTGTGATTCTTTCAGGTGACCTGCTGCAGCAGTTCCTTATAGTAACTTTTAACAAGTTAGATAGGGGAGACATTTGGGACGATGAATTTGAGTTGAACACCATGTTGCAGGTATGGCTTTGTTTAGAGTTGTGCTATGCTAACACTTGGCTTTGCTTTCCATCCAAATATGTTGTTTGATACAGTCATCATATCTTGAAATGCTTAGGAGTCTATCAGAAATTCTGCAGATGGTGCACTTCTCAGTGCCCCAGATGCCTTGGTTGTTTCAGTTACAAAGCATGGTGCTGATAATGAGGAAACTGAAACTGGAAACGGTTCAACTCCACGGAATGCACGGAATCATTGTTTCGGCATTAATGCGCTTGATATTTTGAAATTCACATACAAGGTAAGTGTAGAAAGTTTTTTAAACAAAGTCATTTTATTTTTGTTTTTTGAGTCATCAATCTTTGGTATGATAGGTTTCTTGGCCGCTAGACCTAATAGCTAATGTGGAGGCACTTAAGAAATATAACCAGGTACTAATTTTCTTGTTTTAGAATGATTATCCCATGGACATTCCAATGATTTGATCTGTACTGTGCTTGATACAGGTCATGGGTTTCTTATTAAAGGTCAAACGTGCAAAATTTGTTCTTGATAAAGCTCGAAGGTGGATGTGGAAGGTGCAACTTGATTTTATTCTTTGTTCTGACTAAACATCTAAATCATTAATTTTTTTCTCAAGATTATTTAAAAAAGGAGAGTTAGTATGTGCAAACAAAACAGATAGTTCTCTCCACTTGGTTGAAAACCGATTGAATGAACATCACGAAATGTTGCCTTATAACTTATTATTTTGTTTTTCCTATTCTGTAGTTGGTTTGCAATTAGTTACCTGAAATCTATCCTCGGTACTGTTTCTTTTTCCACTAAGTATACAGCCTCCTGAAAGAATGTGACTGACTGTTTTCTAAATCCTTAGGTAAGAAATCGTTCTCTAGAGTTACTAAATATTCCATTCATTTATGTTGCCATAAATCCCTGCAGCTTGTGTTCTTCTACATAATTACCTCTTTTTTCTCATTGGCACTTTTTTGTAAGCCATAGTTTGCATTTCTTACTGTATCATCTAATATGTGGCAGCTTATGTTCTATTGCAAGTTTCAGATCTCCATGTACTCATAATAGCATCATTGTGAATGCTAGAACCTGCTGGTTTAATCTCAAGTTTGTCTACTAGAATTTTTTCTTGAAATTGGTAATAATGCTTCTCTGTTATACTTTTCCTGCCATAGTCCACTAGTAACCATCACTTGAGAACCATGAACTATTATTACTTAAGAAAGAATGTTAATGATACATTTACTTTCTGATATTTTTTGAGATTTTAAACATTTGGCAGGGCAGAGGTAGCTCAACACACAATTATAAGCACCATTTGTTAGTGGAGCAGAAACTCCTCCATTTTGTCGATGCATTTCATCAGTATGTGATGGATCGGGTAAATAAGAGCTTGTTCATCTTCTTGACGTCATAGTGGAAGTGAAACCCAGATGTTAAACTGAACCTGACCGACGCAGGTATTGCACAGCGCATGGTCTGAACTTTGCAATGGTATGGCATCTGCTGGCTCTCTTGATGAAGTTATAGAAGTCCATGACACTTACCTGCTGTCCATTCAGCGCCAATGCTTTGTGGCTTCTGATAAGCTTGTACAATCTTCTTAGTCACTTATCTTCACTCTGATCGACTAGTGGTTTCTTTCTCTTTTGTAAAGGCTTACGATCACAATGTTCTTTTATTGCCATGCAAATGCAGTGGGCGCTGATAGCAAGTCGAATTAAGACCATTCTTGGATTGGCACTTGACTTCTATGCAATACAGCAAACACTAAGCACTGGTGGAGCAGCTGCTGCTATCAAAGCAAGGTGTGAAATGGAAGTAGATCGGATAGAGAAACAGTTTGATGATTGCGTGGCCTTTCTTCTTCGGGTAATTTTTGACATTCTACTGATTTCATGTTTGAAAATTTTTTGAGCATTGGTTGATGCTTACAAATGTCCTGGAGACATGAACTGCATGAATTATGATTGTATGCAGATCCTCTCATTCAAGCTTAATGTTGGGCACTTCCCTCATCTGGCAGACTTGGTCACTAGAATCAACTACAATTACTTCTACATGTCTGACAGTGGCAACCTTCAGACCGTACCCAGTTTTGAGACTGCTGCCAAACCAGGCAAGTTTTCGGCATTCAGTGGAGAGTAATTATGGTCGTTTGCAATTTCCACAAAGCTATAGTTTTTATTCCTATACCACTTTTCACTCAACTACTCAGGATAATTAAGATCAAAATTCTGGCACGACAATTGGCATACACGGAAACTATGGGAAGGTGCCGAGTTGCTTTCTACAAATTGGCAATTATGAGAGCAGATAAGTTTCGTTTTTCTTTTGTAATTGCACTTGTAATATAAAATCCAGTTTCATGAGCCCACAATTTGGTCATGCCATTTTGGTGGTGGATTGAGTTCTTCTCATGCCAATTTGCTCTTAATGTGTTTACTTTGTGCAGGTACTATCATGAATTAATTTAATTAGTAGATTGGATGTGTACAATGTTCAATAACATTTCTGAAGATTATGTTAAACATGATATGACTTGGTATTGCATCACTTTCACTGTTAATTTTTATTAGTTACTGTAAGTTATTTCAATCTACATTAATTCCTTTTCAGAACATTATGATTCCACATGGGTTGTGACAGTAGTTACTATTAAACTTAGTAATGATTTGTCTTTGCATGTACATTTGCACAATAAACCAATGGAATCCAGCTTACATCTCTGGTTTGATCAGCCTAAATCATATCCATAACATAGATTAGAACAACTCCATTTGAAACAAAATGTCTCCATCATTACAATTAGAACTCCATTTGAAACAAAAACGTTGGCTGATGGTTTGACCATTTCATGAGGACTCCAAATATAAGTCAACTCCTAAACAAAATGCTCGGTTGGGTATTCTTGTTCGCTGCCATTGTAGTCGTAGTAAAGTCGCTCCCCTCTCGATATGTCTCTGTTCGCGACCAGCAGAACTCGGCACTCCCCGTCGACGCTGAACCTGACGCACTTGAGGTTCTGCTTCTTCTTCCCTTCCCTGCTTGGAACCACCTAATTCCTCAGCCTCTTCTCAGATTAGGGATTTGAGATCTGTTGGAGAGGGGAAAGAAAGGCCTCACCTTGTGTGGTTGTTGATGCCGTTGATGAACCGGGCGATGTTGCTCCTCTGATCAGGGCATATGACTAGGCTCCTCGCAGCGTTCGCCGCCGAGAGCAGAGTCATCATACTGTCGCCGTCGTCGTGCTCCCTGTTCTTGAGGTAATCGACGTCACCCACATACTCGGTCACGATGGTTAGGTCTCGGATGAACCTGTCCGCCTCCACTGTGAACCTGTTCAGATGCGATGGTGAGTTCCAGTTTGGGATCGAATTGGAGGAAGGGGGAGGGAGATGCTGACCCTTCGAGTGGGTCGTGGACGACCATCAGCGGTGGCCATTCGCCCCTTTCCATCATCCGCTTGCACAGGTTCAGCGTCTCTACGTCCTCCTTGGACAGCACCTGCAGATATGGTTGGAGATCAGAGCGCTCAAAGGAGTGGAATCGGAGAGAAATCGGATGAATTCCTCACCTGCATCCCTCCGTTCTCATTGGCCGCGCGATTGGCCGACCTCGGCGCCATGCCCGGTCGGTAGGTGAGCTCGTTGCTGAACACGGCGCCGGTGGCTGTCAAGGCCGTGGCCAGCGACGCCATCTGCTCCAGCCTTCTATCGGGGTCTTCGATCGGGTTGAAAGGTAGGAGCTTCCTTTTCTTCTTCGCCACCACCAGCCCTCCGCTCCTCTTCTTCCTTTTCCGGCATTCCAGCTTCTCTAGCCCCGACGACCGCTGTATCCGGAAGAAATCTATGATCCTTGTCTGGATTAGCGGAAACCCTGCAACCAAACCCGCAGATCCATGAAGAAAGGAGAGGGAGGGGGCGAAGGATCGGAACGAGGGTCGACATACTCTTGGGCCTCTTTTCGGCGGAGCAAGGGGGGCAGAACCAGAGGCCCTTGGGGACACATGCGAGAATGGGGCGGAGGCAGAAGAGGTGGAACCCTCGGTCGCACCTGTCACAGAGGAGGAGCTTGTCGGCGGACTCCCCGGAGCCGCACTCCTCGCACCGGATGGCGTCGAGGACGGCAGAGGAGAGGCTGGAGCTGGAGGGCGCATTGGTCCGCCTCCTGAAGGGGGTCTTAGGGGCCATGAGAGAGAGAGAGAGAGGATGGCAGAAGGGAAGGGAAGAGGGGAGATAGGTGAGAAAAAAGGAAACGTCGCGGCTGTTGTAGCTGGAGCTATAAAAACGGCGGGGACGAACGTTTTCGCGCGCACTCGCGGCATCAGGGGTCGGATTTGGCGCGAAGATTTCCCGGTCACTGTGGCGGGTAACTAAATGCGATATTACTACCAAGCGCAGGCCCATGTAACAAGTTTATGGGCCTATCTTGTTCTTATTCCATTAGTTATCTGACAAAGGAAATATATATATATATATATATACATATTCCCAGATAGTGTCCTTTATTTCTTTTAATCCCATAAATATCCCTTGTTGTTGTTTATCCTTCTCCATCCATTAGACCATCAATCAGCAATCTCCATGTCGCCACCTCTATCCCTATAGTGTCGTTGTGGACAATCGCTTGAACACCCTTACCTTGCCCTCCATCTATCGCATCCTTGAGAAGAGAAATGGGGGTGGGACCGAGGCAAGGTAAGAGAGTGTGAGAGGATGCTCCACGAAGATACCATCGGGACGAAAATTGATAGACAGGTGAAAATGGAGGAAACCCCGAGGACGAGATGAGTGAGGGAAAGAGTGGTCAGCAGCGACATAGGCAACGTGAAGGCAACAAAGCAAAAGGCATTGGGTCATGGATGGCTGATGACAAGAGGTATTTACAGAATTACGATATCATAGGAAACTATAATTATGAGACATCTTCCAGTAAAAACCCAAAGGACTTCTTTGATGCAATCGTGTGTATATCGAGATTCTTCCACCCTGAGCTCGATTTTACTGTCGTTGCTCAAAAGCACATCCTTTTGCAAAGTCAACGGTTGACCATATCATGCCCTAGCATGTATAAATGGGTCAAACAGGTTCATCTCCCTTGAACCATTACTAACAACAGTAGAAACCTTGAGCCATAAGAATGAAAAGGAATCATCTCTGTTACGACATACAAAAATGAGATCATCCGAGGCTGACCGCAGGATTGCCGGCTTCATTTAGGCTGGCCATCAACCTCCTCTTTGCAGCTTTGGTCCTGTAACACCACACTTCGAATGCCTCGCTCAAATCAGGATAACTCAACTGCTCAGTTTTTTTCATCCAATCTGTGAATATCTCCGCTTGATCATTCGACGGCAAAGCAAGCACCAGAGACGTGATCGCACCTTCTACGTTCTGGCACAAATCGCCATCCATCTTATAGGGAAACGATTCGTCCTCCATGCTCTTCAAATCCAGTAAATGCTTCATCTTCCTGATGTAAGGGAGCCATGTTCTCAAGAAGTGGACTCTGAATGGTGCTGGAAGAACGACGCTGCCATAGCCGATAGCATCCAAAGCTTTTCCAGTTACTTCTATCGACTTTGCTTTGACAGACCACAAGCTGGAGCTGTACTTCTCATCTTGAATGACTGCCAGGATGTGATCAGAGACATGAGCCCAACCGAAGACAAATTCTTTCATCATTTCCATCTTCGGAATTATGTTACACATCCACTCAAGATCTGATAGGCTCTGCAAGAGTTGGTGTTCACCTGCCTCGAGCGACTGATCAACATCTGAGGCGAGCATATTCAGTGCTGTCTTCAATGTCGTAAACATCCTGGCTAGGCCTGTACTGACCTCGGATTTCACATCATCATCCACTGCAACCAGAGGAGCATCTTCATCCTCCAGAAGCATGTACTCGACTTGTTCCCGGGCAGAAGTCTTCAGTTCATCCGTGAATGGAGGAACAGAACTTGTGACGGACATGGCAAAACGAACAGCTGACAGGAATACATTCTTAGTGTCATTTGTACTGACAGGTTTTATCCGAGCTAAAAGTGGTTGAGCTTCAGGGCCTAGGCTAGATGCCACTTTTATGATCTCTTCCTCTTCGTCTTCCTCCCAAGGTACAGCCTCCAAGTACAGGATGCAGCTCTGGATGATTGATCTACATTGAAGAGAAACTGAAACTCGAAGAACACCAATGGCAGATTTAACAGAATCCCACGAGTCTAGAACTGACTCTTCTGAGAGATAAAGTAGCTTTAAGACCTTAACATAATTGTCATACTCGTTTCCTGTGCAGTGAACTTCAATGCAATTACCCGTATCATGACTCGGAGAAGCAGGACGGTTCTCAGGGAGCCGATCTGCAAAATATTTGCTCTCTCTCCTCAAAATGGTTGAGTGGCAGTGGAACCACTCTGGCCTACCATCTCTGTTCCTCAAGCAAACAGTGACATCACTCGTTGTCCGGTCACCAAAGCCACGAGTCTTAGCAGAGCAGGCTTGTTCCATTTGCACTAATATAATCTGTTTAGATTCATGCTTTCCTTATGAACTGCAGAGATGCTATAGGTCTGTAATTAGGCCAAAAACGTTCAGATTTTAATAACTATGGTTTAACAAAAGCCTACTCAAATCAAACTATACTGTTACTATGTAAAGGAAACCCACGTCAAAATGCCGGCAGCCACTATCTTTCTTTTCCCTCTAACAAAGTTTAGGTACACTAACCATATAACTTTTGATCTTGAACAGGACATCCAATCCCATCATTTAGATCCATGATTAGTATAAAATGATTTAAACCAGTGGTTCAAATATAAAAATAAGTCCTTTTTTCTTCTCTGTCCTTTGGCACACCTTCTGGTCTGTGCCAATGACATGTTTTAGGTCAATGCTGGTCAGCACAAGGCTTTGCAGACCTTGGACATACAGACACATAATAGGACTATTTCTTTGAGTAATCATCAATGGAACCAGTACTTATTTAGAGTTTCAAGGCTATCTTTGTCTACCATTTGCAAAATTTTGAATCGAACATGACCAATTAGTAAGACATGGTGTCTTTTCTATCAGGATGAACAATACCCTCAATTAAATAAACTAGTCAAATACTATTACCAGACATATTCGAAGAAAACAGATTACACTGAATGCACAATTGATAAGACACATTGAGCATGAAAACAACTAGAACCACTTATACACAAAGAACATCTACCATGTTTAGAAATGTCGGCAAAGTCATACCCTTGGATGTTGACATCAGTATTCCCTATTATCAATTGGCCAGCTCCCAGCTTTTCCATATTTAATATGTATCTTGTGTGCATGCTCCAACTTTTGTGTAAAAGCATCAGAAGTGTACTCGTGTATCATGCACCTATCCAAAATTTAATTATCATTTAGTGGTACAGTATTATGTGGCTAGAGATATGCACATAACTAAATATATGTAGCACACAAAGTCTTGCAAGATATGATTAACATATAATCAATCATCATAATGAACTATGAGACATTTTTTGACAGACAGACAGACACTGAAGTAGAATATCTTGTGCAAGAAGACATATTGCCACATAAAGCACCAACAGTTGAAGCCTATTCAACCCCCGCCATTTTTCGTCTAACACAGGAACTTTTGGAACCATGTATTGTTTATGACGAGTCTGATCACTGGCCTGTTATAGAGAGCTTTCTTTTGCCAAAACAAGGTACCGTAAAATTAAGATTTTCCTTGTTAGAAGTTATTGTAGCAAAAATAAATCATAGAACATGGGTGATAGAAACCTCTGTTGGTACCTTAAGGACATGAGCAACTTCCTCCAAGCTAGAGACATGTGTTGGAGTTTTTCTAGTCATACACAGATGAATATTCTAATAGAGATTATCCACTGAATCAACATCAAGAATTAATCAACAATTGACAAACTTCAGGAGTAATATATCAATTATTCATTTGAAAATAACAATCTTAGCTAAATTGTTTTTTTTTTTTTACCTGTAGTTAGTACATATTATCTTTACAGTAGCTCTCATTTTTTTCAACAAAAACAAGACATGAACTGTAACCACATTACCTTATTTACTTTTTCTAATTTTGTCCCGTTATTCCCACACTCTTTGTGAAAAATGGAAGTACTAAACATATTTTCATGTCACTTATGCATGCCTCAAGAACACTGATCTTTGGGAGGGGGGGGGGAATGGAGGATAGGTCGTTTGGGGTGTTATGTGTGAATAGTGTCCCGCCGAGGAACCCATGACTGATCATCACTCAGCCTTGGTAAACAAGGGTTCATCTAAATTGGAGTAACCGTAAATGCAGTATCAGAAGAAGAAACTCTAAGGAGAGAAAGGAGACAGATTTGATTGGGGGATTTGACCCCTTTCGGGATTCCACTAGGACCGAGTAGCAAGGCAAGAGAACCAGGGCCATCCGGTCCAAGAGTGGGCATGTCACTGCTCTTGAGGTTTCCAACAATGTATCAAGATGAGTAAGAGTCAGCCACAGGTATTCAAGAGAACCATAGGCAGCAGCATCAAAACTTGCTATAAAGGGAGCATTCAGAGTGCCTCCAATTATTCTAGAGTCTTAGCCAGTGTTGTCAAAGGCGGCATAGGCGCTCGCTTAAGCGAGCTAAAATGCACTAAGGCTCCAAAATGCCCGAGATGCTTAGGCCCTCACTCGAGCAAAGTGAGGCGCTCATCAGTATAAAAATTAAAAAATATAATTAAGGATATAGACAATGATGAAGATATCACCACTAAAACATTCATTCCCTTAATCATCGATAAGGCATCGAGGTATTATATTGCCCAAATATAATAATAAAACATAAAATAAAATAAAATTAACATCACAAGTCCAGGAATTTTGGCAAGAATTCTAGCAGTGACAATTCAAGAACCAATCAGTAACAAATTCAATAAGCAACACATTGCATGAACTATTATTAATAAGAATTTAGTGTGATTAGATAAGGGGAAGGGACTGAGACCAGGAGGAGATCGACTGAACGTGGAGGAAGGCAGTTGAAGGCAGCTGACAGAATCAGAGAGGGGGCTGCAGGCTGGATGGCAGATGGGGGCTGTCGGCGAGCGAAAGAAGCAGGAAGAGAAGAGTGCGTCGGTGGGAGGGGGAGGCTGGCTGAGAGCAGGGGAGAAGCAGAGAGGGAAAGAAGAAGAGGGGGAGATACGGCGGCTCGCTGGGGAGAAGGGCTATACAGCCGGACGTCGGGGTCACACCGCCAGAGGGGGAGAGGGAAGGAGAAACGCAGAAGGAGCGACGGGGAGATGAGAGAAGGTACCTCCGTCTGAGAGAGGGGATGCACGTCGGAGGCCCGCCCGACTTACCCACGAACGCCGGCCGCCGGATTGCATGCGCGCAAGGAAGCCGAGGAAGACGAGGATTAGGTTAAAGGGCGAAAGGAGAAGGGCGATGGAGTGTGTCAGGGGAATCTGGCTTCGTCGAACCCAATCAATCAATTCGGGTTCGATTCAAGCTAAATTAAATTGATTTGGACTTGGGCCCACCGCTCCTGACAAATGATTGGAGGTCAGAGATTTCCAACGAATGATTGCTGGAAATAAATAGGCTTGCACTTAATTGCGAGGAAATTTTTTATTTTGATTATTTTAACGCTCAAGTTAATAATCCATGTAGGAGGGTCGATTTGAATGTTCAAAAAAGATAAGTCCCCTCTTCCTTTTTTATTATGTTCGATACGAGCTTTTATATCTTGTTATAAAAAGATAATATTTCATGAAATATTATGTGGAGAGGTAGTTTGTAATCGTCTCCAACAACCTCTCCTTGGTTTATTATTCACGTGGGTGACAAAAGAGCGAGGAGCAATCTATAACGGTTTGTCTTGGGCCCTTACTCACGTTGGCAAATGGGTAAAGGGTGATCTTTATCTTCTCCTTCAACCCTAGATACCATATGACGGTTATGTGTCGAATAATGATTAGCTAACGACATACTCTCCCCTCCCCCCTCACCAAGAAACATTATTCGGGACTCTTGCCAAAGGAGTTCGAAATGTGGCAAATGATTCATTCGGTATATTGAGCTCATACCTCTTTGATCCATTTTTGACCTAGTGGTATATCTAGTCCATCATACATCTCATTGTCCGGAATAACCTTCTTGGATCACCTCATTAATGGTGATCTTCGTCTTCTCCTTCAATCCTAGACACCATATGACGGTTTCGTGTCGAATAATTATTAGCTAACGACGTACTCTCCCCCCCCCACCAAAAAACATTCTTCGGGACTCTTGCCAAAAGAGTTCGAAATGTGGCATATGGTTCATCCGGTATATTGAGCTCATGCTTTTTTGATCCATTTTCGATATAGTGGCATATCTAGTCCATCGTACACCTCGTATTGTCCGAAATGTCCATCTTGGATCACATCCTAAATGGTGACCTTCGTCTTCTCGTTCAACCCTAGACACCATATGACGGTTATGTGTCAAATAATGATTAGTTAACGACGTACTCTCCCTCCTTCACCAAAAAATATTCTTCGGGACTCTTGCTAAAGGGGTTCGAAATGTGACATATGATTCATCCGGTATATTAAGCTCATGCTTCTTTGATCCATTTTTGACCTAATGCTATATCTAGTCCATCGTATACCTCGTATTGCCTAAAATATCCGTCTTGGATCACCTCCTAAATAGTGACCTTTGTCTTCTCCTTCAACCCTAGACACCATGTGACGGTTATGTGTCGAATAATGATTAACTAACGACGTACTCTCCTCCCTCACCAAAAAACATTCTTCGGGACTCTTACCACAGGGGTTCGAAATGTGGCATATAGTTCATACGGTATATTGAGCTCATACCTCTTTGATCTATTTTCGACCTAGTGGCATATCTAGTCCATCATACATCTCATATTGTCCGGAATGAGTGTCTTGGATCACCTCATTAATGGTGACCTTTGTCTTCTCCTTCACTCCTAGACACCATATGACGGTTGCATGTCGAATAATTATTAGCTAACAACATACTCCCCAACCTCGCCCCCCCTTCCTAAAGATATTTTTTGGGACTTTGGTCAAAGGGGTCAGAAATGTGGCATATAGTTCCGGTATATTGAGCTCATGCCTCTTTAATCTATTTTCGACCTAATGGCATATATAGTCCATCGCACACGTCATCTTGGATCACCTCCTTTAGTGCTATTAGTGGCGATCTATTATCGACCTGCTCCTTGTATCGAGGAGGGATGCATATTGGCTGATCCTCCCTTCCCAAAGATATTCTTCGGGACTTTTGCCAAAGGGGCCAGAAATATGACATATGTTAATCCATTTTCGACCTAGTGGCATATCTAGTCCATCGTACATGTGGATCACCTCCTTTATTATTGCTAGAGGCAATCTATTATCGACCTACTCCTTATATCGAGGAGGGATGCATATTGGCTTATCGTCAAACTTTCTGACCTCCTAAGGTAGAACTATTATATGAGCATATTCATAATATTTATAAATCCCTTGAACATGTTCCATAATTTATAACCAGATGTTTCTAGAAAAATGTGGGAAAAAAATTACAACACAGAAGCTAAAAACTATCATTGGCGTCGCCCGGGCTCGAACCGGAGACCTTCAGTGTGTTAGACTGACGTGATAACCAACTACACCACGACACCATTTGCTGTTAGGTTTCCTATATTTCATTATAAATAAATAATATTTCATGTAATATTCTACGAGGGAACGTAATCGTCATCTTATACCTCCCGATCTAATTAAGTAGAGCTATTAGATGAACATATTCATAATATTTCTTGGGTTAGACTTCCTAATATTTTCGTATCAAGTCGAGAGTCAAAGCTGAACATATTCATAATATTTCTTGCGTTAGACTTCCTAACATTTTCGTATGAGAGTCGAGCTTCCTAATGAAGTAGAGCTGTTAGATAAACATATTCATAATATTTATAAATCCCTTGAACATATTCCATAATGTATAACTGGATCTTCTTAGAAAAATGAGGAGGGGAAAAAACTACTAAGCAGCAGAGAAACTAAAACCCACCAATGGCGTCGCCCGGACTCGAACCGGAGACCTTCAGTGTGTTAGACTGCCGTGATAACCAACTACACCACGACACCAGCTGCTGTCGTGTTTCATATGTGTTTTATATATTAAATGATAATAGATTGTGTCCCTAGTTTAGGCTTACGTTGCCAAACTATATAAAATTTTAGACCATTCTACTAAGCACAAATAGTAGCAACAATAATGAGGAGAAGTAGAAAGGCTTTAAATCCAGAAATTCCACAGCATTTAACACCATATTATCATAAGAAATCCAGGTTAGGAAAACATTATTTGTTTGAAACCCATTCTGGATTAGATACAGAACTGTCACCATCACCACAGAAACTAGAAGAAGCAAGCACCACAAAAGATGAAGGACATGAGCCAATGTGAGATGGAAGCAATATTTTTCTTATCAGACCATATTGAAAACATACATACTCCTGATAGCAGTCATTAGCTCATGAAGGAATACAGCATGCCACACACAATAATAATGTGTTCTAGAGTTATATAGAACTGAGGAAGTTCTTGAGACTGCAGATCGAAGTGAATTCAGAACCATCCAAGGGGATCAAGTTAGCTAATCCCGGAGACAAAAGAGATTTATTTATAGGGAGAAATTTTATATAGCTTATTTTTCCTGAAACAAATATCCTCTAGCACAGTAGCATAGCTGCCAATGCAACTAATGCCTCTTATTCATGACCACCAAAAATCTCAACTCAATTCTTAAGCATCTTTCGGGCTTGTGGAAGTAAAAGTAGAACACATAAACATGTAAAAAGAGGGAGGCAACAACCTTAGGAATCAGAATGGCAATACATCACCTTGGTTAAAACTACTCAGATATACAATATAAGCACACAAACATAACATGTAAATGTACACAATAAACCAATCCACTAAAGGAATTTTACATCTCACCAAGGGGTTCATTTGGAGAATGCAAAAATGACATCAGTTCATTATAATTTTCCCAACTGAGACAGACACTAAATCCAAAATGTAGCATGAGATATACTATATTGTCTGGAACATAAATGAGTGCAAGAAGATGAACTTGCAGGGGCACAACTTTACAATCTTAAACATTGCTAATTGGACTCTCTTGCTTTTCTTTCGGATTATCTTTTGAGGAAAAATTGTGAAAAGTAAGAATGTCATCAGAACCTTCACCAGAAGAGTGTCAAATTGCTAGCCATGCTAGAGCTGGGGTAATCTAGAAAAACTAAATTGAAACTAACAATCAATAACCATCAGAACTGAGATATCCCTGATATTTAAACAACAACTTGTTAAGCAGTGACAGGCCTAGTAAAGTATTCTAGCAGGAGTATAATCAGAAAAAATAAAAAGAAATAAATGGGAAGGCTCCCATCCCCATAATTATCAAATAAGTAAACTTTTTGGTTTTCTAAATGCATGAAATAGACTATGAGATAGCCATTGCTTTGCAGAAACATTTAGCCTATACTGTAGTGTAGAACCAAACAAGGAGGGAGGCCGATAACTTTTGGAAAGGGGTGTTCTTTAACAACAGCTGCTGAAAGAATTTCATCAAATGTCAAGAACTAAAACCAAATAATGCAACTTAACAAAACAAGATCTTGATGAATTTTTTTTGTAAGCATTTTGATTTTGTCAAATCAATCTTCAGACCATTTCATGCCTTTTCTTCTTACAAGGTAAGTTTATGCCTGATTTTGTCATGGGTAAGGATGTTGTCTTCTTCGATCCATTGACATCTAATAGTTTAAGAAACTCATCTCAGATTAAATTATTATTGTTCAGAGCAAGGCATGCTTTTTGATAAATAATGCATGGAATGAAAATGATGTAGTAGAATTGGTGACTGATTAAGCAGTTAAAACCCACTGTTAGGTAGATCACAGCAAAATAAATCACACAATATTCCTTAAAGATGTAAGCATAAACGAAAGAAGGCACTTACGGATGTTCCCAAGTAATACACAATCGATTTCATGGTTGTAGGACCGACATCCACAATACGATAGTCTGATATTCACAGAGATCAAACAATTGCCAATAGGCAATCTTTACAGAAACAGAGAAGCAAGAATGCAACAATTGGGATGAGTTCTCACTTACATTTGCCTTATGCACAAGAACAGATGGTTCTATCAGATGATTCAGAACACACAGACAACAATGTTACACTGACAGGAAGCTCACAACACAAGCTTCACCAACACAGCATCCATTAGAAATTTTACTACCAGTTCTCCTTGACAATCTTGGGTTTCTCAAATATGAACTTCCCTTCTTTGTACTTCTGTGTCTCTTCATAAGCTCTTTCATACTTCCATCCCAACACCTCACGGCAATCACGGCAGTAAATGTCGGCAACCGTATGCAGCCCTGTCATCAGCTGCCTATCTTCCTTTGGCCCCACGACAACATTCATGGCATGAGAAAACAGAAAGGCACGCCCGTTTCTCCCCTGTGCCGATCAAGGCAATGTAGAATAAAGATCACAAAATCAATTCACCAAATTGTCGCCTCCTTCGATCATAGCAAGATGTTAATTTTAACAACATACTATCATGAATCTCCTAAATCAGCAAAGAATGTTCTAAAATGAACACCAAGTTTTCACTGGAAGGACAAATTCCATCGATATAAACTATTGCATAAGACAAAAAGAACTTCTGACAATCATCAACGTCAACTCAAAACACAACAGATAGGCTACAAAAATGCATGCAGGAATACCTGAAGAAATCGAGGAATATATGAAGAAATAGGCTACAAGAGCTTCACCTGAAATGCTTTGGATATGATATCATCGTGAAGGCAGACGTGGTTTCGGCAATTGCTGCAGCTGTAAACACGAGGCCCGATCAATTCCGCCATGGATGGCGCCCCGGCTGCTCTTAATCAACGCTAAAACAAGAAAGTCAAACCACTTCCCGCAAAGAAAATAAACACCACCAAAACACACCAAAAATGACAAAAACCTTAATACCCCCAATACAAGCAAAACCCCAATCCACGATCGAAGAGGATCAACTGACCTAAAATCGAACACCCGTACCACTAGACTACCGTCGCCGCCGCACAAGGGGCAAGAACTGGAAGCACGAAACATTAGGGAACAATATAAGGAGGGGGAAAAAAGAGGGGTTTGCAGTGAAAGCCATTAAGATTTGTTGGTAAAATCAAGATAATATCAAAACCCAACAAAATTACTCTTAATCAAAAGTAAAGCCCAAAAATGTGTATCTATATAGATAGATTGATAGATTCCTTGCTTCGTTTGCAGAGGAGGAGAAAGAATGTTCATCGGACGAGTTAGGATTAGGACTGGGTTTTACCTGGATCTATGGGAAGAATTAAAGGCGGAGATTGGGGATTTCTTGGCGACGGGAGGGGAGAGAGAAGAGAGTTCTTAATGAATCTGCTCACCGTCTCTATATCGTATGATTGGATCGGCCACTGGGGCCCCACACTGCGCCCGGTCACCCTGTGACGCCAGGCGACGGGTATGGGGCAATCGAAGACGCCGCTCTAAGTAGTAGTCAGCGTGGTGTTAACGGACGAGCAGGCGATGCAGAAGATAGGTGAAACCATCTTATGGTATATAAATATAATATATATATATATATATATATATATTATGGAATATAATTTGGAAATAGTATAATTCCTCCATTTATTTTTTTATACTATATATATATATATATATATATAATAGAAAATAATCCTATAATTAGGGGTATTCAATTCGAATAAAAAAAATCAATTTGTTTTAAATTAATTTGATTCGATTTTGAAGACTATAAATGATCTCGTTTGGAAGGTTTTATTCTTAAATTCGATTAATCGATTTGAATTGAATTGATTTTAATTTTAAAAAACATTATTCGAACTGAATTTACTATTTTAATCGTGTTCAAACAAATTAATTAAATCGGTTCAAAAGTTTAATTTGGCCTGATTCTAATGTCATAATTTCATAAATTATGTGGATCTAATTATAAAATTTTTATCATGCTAGTGTAATTAGTCCAAGATTTTGATTTGATTTAATTAAATAGAATCAATTTATTTGATATATTTTTTTATTTATAAATTGAATCTAATTTTGAAGGTTCAAATTAATTTTGGTTCAAATATATCTTATTTTAATAGAGCCAAACCGAAAACTAATTTAGTTAAACTCGACCTTTAAGGATTCTATTTAAATCAGGTTTAACACCGACACATATGGTTTGGAAAAATCTCTTATTTTGTACTACTCAGCCATATATAATAAATAATAATAATAATAATAAATATTGTTATAAATTCTTAAATAAATATACGAATTCATCGGATTCCATTTGAAAGTATTTTCTTCTTTTATTTTTCTCTCCTTTTCTCCATTTTTTAAAAAAAATTTCTTCATAATTAATATTAAAATAAAAAATATATACATAAGATGACAAACAAATCGACCAATGGCCTATAAACATTTAAGAATAAAGAACAAATTTAAATAAAGAAAGATATAAAAAATTAAATCTATTTTAGTAGTTTACTTATCCTCATCCATCTTTGGATGATGAATGGGTTATGGACATTCATTTCTGATAGGGATCCTTCACATCGTGGTAGAGTGAGTTGGCACGACTCGGTTCGGTCTCGGGTGTGTAGGATTAGTTTTGTCAGCGTTTGATCGATGAGAGTCGTAGTCTGACGAGGTCGGGCTCGAGCTTCAAGGTCGGAGACTCCCTCGGGTTGATTGCCTACTTCTTGGCCTTCGGTCCCTGCACACATGTAGTGGTCGGGAAGGGGCTCCCAACTTTGATCCCTCCAAAGATCTAGTTAGAACTGAGTGGCCAAAAAATCCTCTCGCTTGCTGTCCTACGAGGGACTTTTTATATCTCTCCCTTGGAGATCGCCTGTACATGTCATATTTATGGTTATTAACTCGACTTTCACAGGGCAGCACTATGCTCGGGTGGTGCCATCCCGATTTTTGCGGGGTAGCACTGTGGTCATGTGGCACCATCTCAGCTTTTGCGAGATGGTTTCGTGCTCGGGCGGTGTCATCCTGATTTTTGCGGGGCAGCACTATGATCGAGTGCGCGTTGTCTCGACTTTTGTAGGGTAGCACTGTGCTCGGACGACATCGCCCCAACTTTTGCGAGACAACACTGTGCTCAAAATAACGTGGCTGTGAACAATGGTCGGAGGGCGGGTTACTGAAATGTGCCATGTCAATTTGCTTATCCATTCCAAAGCATGATCACGATGATTCGCCCATTCCGACATCGAGACTAACACTTATGTTATCTTGACCGCATATTATTTCTGACATCTCAATGTCTCTTTGATGACTTCCTATGTTCTTACGTTGTTACTTGAGCTTGGCACCATCTCGACCACCGATCGAAGTGGTTCGCTTCACAGCATGCCAAGCCTACATATCAATTTATACGTTTCATCCATAGCTATACATTTATCTTTCACTCTCATCTCGTATGAGTATCATTTAATATATATATATATATATATATATATCATAATCATTTGATTATGATAAATGAGAAGTATGATGAGTAGAAAGTATGATGATATATCATTTCCACCTGATCAATATAATAATTGAATCTATGTCCTATTATTATGATGCAAATGTCGATTATATTCCATTGAGATAATTCATTCAGGATCATAGGGTGATTTGCACCGTTGATGCCGCAAAATGTCACTGTAAAGTGGGTAAAGGAGCCATTAAATGCTTGAGGGCATATTAATCAACATGTGAGTTGATTTCGTCGAGCAACCTTAAGGCCCTCTAATTCGACATAGCATTCAAGCTGGAGGGCACTATATAGGTTGCATTAATTTTGCTATCCCGTTGATCCACAATGAGAAACCCCAGTACTTAGAGGAGAAGGAAATGAATCAAACAAGCCATCCCATAATAGAGTTCAAGGACGAGTAGGATGAAGAGGAATGAGAGAGTGGGATGGGCAGGATGATAACCTCAAGGTTTTGGACTCTAAATCAAAAGCTTTGCACTCTATGAATCCGATTTGACCATTAAAGGTTACGAAGATAACAATCATTTTTTGTATTTTCAAGTACACGAGAATCACAATCGATTTTAAAGCAAAATTCTCCGCCGTCAAACATCAAAAGAGGCTTATATTCACGTGCTAAAATCATTCAACTTTGGGCGGCGCGTGCCACTCCATGTGGACGACGAACGGTCAGGATCTCACGATGGAGATGTGCACGAGATTTCAAGACCCACGTCCCCTTCGTCCGGGGCTTTATTTAAACGTTATCGACGAGGGCGGGGGGGTTCAGTTCGCTTCCAGCGCCCGCTCTACCGACCTTCTTCGCCCTGCCTGCTTCCTTTTGGCCCGAGCCATCGGCCGCCGGCATACCCTAGCCGTCGCCGCACCTAGCGGTGGCTACCTTGGCCCCTTCCACCGCCGCCCTCAACCGCCTGCGCCCGGATTACTCGGATGCGTCTCCACGTTTCACTTTCCGTTCCATCTCTCTTGTCTCGATTCGTCTCCATTTGTCGGGGTTTCCTCGCATTGTAATTCGTTTTGCTGATGTCTTGTTTGATACCAGACGGAGGTTTCGACTGATTAATCGTCTAGGGTTACTGAGGGGGCTCTTGGGCATTTGATCGATGACGTCGTGGTGCTCATCGAGGTTAGGGTTCTGTGGACCTTTTTGATGTTTAAGATTATGTTGTTAATTGTTCTTTTTTAGTGACTTTTCTGTTCATGAAGGAATTTATCTCATGCGAATTACTTAAAAGTCAGCTTTAATATTTGGCCGATTTCAAAGAAGGTACATCGCGATTATTATCCATGTCATAGCCTAGTTTGACACTATAATTGATTGTTTAATTTGGTTGAGCTGAACCATTGATTAAAATGTTTAAGTTTAAATTAATGATAGTAGATTCATCTAGCCTTTATAACATTTATTCGTCAATTAAAGACTACTCATTTTTTATGTGAGATTAAAGGAAAATATTTCATGATGCACATGACGGGGAGTCCAAGGTGGTTCCGATTTGCCTCTAGTCGCATTCATTTACTACTCGAGTCATTTACTATGTCTCGAATAAATAATCTATTAACTTGTTAATTTGTCCAGTCTGAATCACATAGTCCAAAATATTTATACCTAAATTAATAATAATAGACACATATAGTTCTTATAAACTAATTCAAATTTTTATCTACTTTTAATGTGAGATTGAAATGGGGAACTGTAAATTATGCGCATGAAATCTCATTCAGGTCTAACTTTATGTTATAAACTAGCTATAACTTTATGTGTTATATATATATATATATATATATTGATGAATCTTGGCTCTGATACCATATTAGGAAACATGATGAATAAATTTAACATGTACATATATACCAATTCAATCCTAAAACTTAAACTTGTTGAGTAGTGGGTCAAACCTAATCCGACCTCTTCAATCTTTATCAATCAAGATTGTTCTCTTAGTCCTCTTTTAATCTCTATTCTCATGTATAACTATTTCCTAACAGAATTTATGGTTGATATCATTTTTAATTTCTTATATAATAACTCTGGTTGGTGGCAATGTTTCAAAAGTGATAGTTCTCTTGAACAATAGCAAGTGTTGTTTAATGGTTATATGAAATGTGTGGATTGCTTGTGTACTAAAGCAGCATGAGTCATGATGTGTCAAACCTTAAGCTAGATAGTATAATCTTGCTTCTTGTTTTCCTGCACCTTTTATCCCGGTTGTAGAGGATGCAGTGCTTATCCAAGTTCATTGGCAAAGTGTACTTTGTTCCACTTTGCAACGTCTTGATAAGGATAATTGTTCCCCCATATGATATGTTGAATTTATGGCCTGCAGTTAGTGTACTGATGTTTTACATGGATAGTTGATGCAGGTTCGAGGATCCATTTCAGCGAAAATTGTGGTTATTGCTGGCGCAGTTTAGGAACTATTTCTCTTTTCTTCTTTAAACTATATAAAAAATTTTTGTGCAATCTGTAGAATTAATATTTCTTTTCTGTGATTATCCTGACCATTTGTTCAACATCTGTTCTGTTTTTAAGGTTTGGGTTTGAGGTACACATTGATAGGTAGGACTACAAAAATCAAGCATCATGTTGATGTTTCTTCTCTCAATCAATAGATGAAGTTTGTAGGCTTTTGCTCTTTATATCTTAGGAACTACATTTGTGAATTATAATCTTTATAATATGCATAAACTTTTTTTTCTCATGTGAAGGTTTATAGAGGTTACAAGATTAAATCCCTTCTTACTTTGTTATTTTTTAGTGTCTATCTACTTTTCATGTAGCTACTTGATTGTTACTCTTAGGGTTAATTATATATTATCTCTTGTACTTAGACCGTATTAGCATCATGATCTCTATATTTAAAAAATTTACATTAGGATTTTTATAGTTTTAAAAATGAAATAAATAACTTCATTTGTCATAATGTCGTTAACTGTATTGACGGAAAACATAATACCTTTTTGCCCATCACTTATTGTGTTTATCGTAAATGTAGCTAACAACGTTGAATAAGGTTATTTATTTTACTTTCGTAATTATAGGAATCTCAATATAAATTTTTTAATTATAGAGATCATAATACTAATAGGGTCTAAGTATAAAAGATAATATATAATTAGTCTTTACATTTTGTCCGTCATTTTCATGTCTATCCAACACGCGGTGTCAATCACCTATGATTCTGAGCAATGTCAATCTGCGAGCATAATCTTGATGATGTGTTACAACCGGTCCATGAAGAAGGTATGATTTCGTTTTGGCCAAGCAATGAGTTTGTGGACTGTGGAGTCTTCCCAGGTCAATGATGAGAAGTTGGACTCGATTGTGCCTCACATGATACCTGGGCATTCATTCAGTCACCTGCAGGGCAGTAGCCATTCCCCACCCCCACGGTAGGCAACTCTGGTCATGGATTTTGTCAAACGGCGAAGGATAGCTTCCTATACTTGCAAAGAGGAGGATCAGGAAGAGGAAGAGGAAGAGGAGGGCTTGGACGCGAAGAGAAGGGATTGGTCGTCCCTGACGGAGCCCCTGCTGCGGTCGGTGCTGCGGCGCCTCGACAGCCTCGAGGATTTCTTCGCCTTCCGGGGCGTCTGCCGCAGCTGGCGAGAGCTCGCCGCCCCGACCCCGGACGCCCTCTCCGCCCAGCTCCCGCTCATCCTCTTGACCCGCTTCCCTGCATACACCGAGGCCTTCTACGACCTCGACCGCCGCCGCCTCTACCGTGCCCAGCTCCCATGGCGCGTCCACTCTCGCCGATCCGTCGCCTACGCCCACGGCCACCTCATCACCGCCACCGATCCCCCCAACTCCAAGCTTCTACTCTGGAACATCTTCTCGGAGTCTCGCATCCGCCTTCCCAAGGTTCCCGAGCCCTTCCGCCGCGTCCGCCTCTCCTCTCACCCGTCCGACCCCGCCCTCGACTGCATCGTTGTCCTCTTCGCCAAGAGGAGCACCGTGCTGCAGTATTGCCGCGTCGGGGACTCCCTCTGGACCATCCGCGACTGGAGTATGCTGCGGATGGTTGACGACATGATCTTCTTCCGGGATAACAGGCTCTACGCTCTGACCGCCACGATGCAGCTCGTCGTCGTGGACCTCGCCGCCGATCCAAAACTCTGGCTACTGGGCGACGGTGGCGGTAGAGCAGCGGAAGGGCATCGGGAACGTTGGCTTGCCGAGTCAGGTGGGGAGTTGATGGTTCTCTGCCACAGGTTCAGGGGTGGGTTCGATGTTTGCCGCTGGGACTCGGGAAGTTGTAGCTGGGTAGAGGTGCTTGACTTGGGCGGAAGGACATTATTCCTTGGGTCAATGGGGTTTGCCGGGTCGATTGCCGCCGCTGGATCGGGGATCAGAGGGAACTGCATTTATTATGTAAGCTACCGGAAAGATGCGTGGTATGTGTTCTCGTTGGAAGAGCAATCCGTCGAGGTTGTCTACCCTGATTCACCTGGTTTGCTCAGGGGCCAGTCTCCACTGGACCCTGTATGGGTATTCCCCAGCCTTTGTTAAATTATGAATGCTCTGTTTGTGTTCGCAAGGTGTTCGGTGAAATGCTTAGATAAAGCTGTAGTTCTCAGTTAAATTTAGAGTTCCGATGTTTGTTGTCATTTGTAGTCTTGATGATTCCTCGCTGCTTATATTCCTTCTCCTCTAATTCGTTCCTTTGTTTTCATTGCCTCTTTTTATTCAGAACAAAGGTTTGTCGTTGGTGAGTTGAAAGGTTTTTATGATTAGATATCTGCACCATTATTTCTCTAATATGTCTAAATGTTCTTCCTTAAAGCCTTCTAAAGAATCTTGGCCCAACGTCACAAGTTTACGGGCAGTAATCCAGCCTTGTAGTGGAACTCAATTACATTCCAGTTCCACTTCAGTGGTTCCCAGTGATCATATATGCCAACCAAGGTAAGTAGACAAATCCCTCTTGTCTCTGTGTTGTAACCATAGTTTTGCCAGCTTTTGATTATTATACAATCACTGTTTAGCAGCGATTAATGTGTGCTCCTTCGATGCTTTTTTGCAGGATCTTCGATTGGATGCACTGCAAGATGCAACTCAGCATCAGGTTCTCCCAGTTTTCTGAAAAGAAAGGTCGAGTATGTGGTGTGATCCTCATTTAGCTTGTCATGGATTTACATTCTGACCTCCTGATGTGTTCTGTGGAGATGTCGAAGAACATTGAAATGTGATCTTCGAGGGTGTGATGCCGAAGGAAACACGACTATTACGTGACATTCTCCATGGCATTGTTACCATTGGCACATTGGACAACAGGGCTGCTTTCTTTCTCAATCCTTCTCCACCCAGGAAGATGAATTCCTCCGATGGTAAGAGTAAGAAGTTGTAGAGGCAGAGACAAAAGAAGAAGAAGAAAAGGAAGTTGCAAAAAGAAGCCGAGAGAATGTAAGAGTTGCCACTGCTGAGGGAGGATTGATGACACTCTCCCGTCTGTTTGCTGCAGATGCTTCAATGGTGACTGACTCCTCACAGGAGGAACAAGAAACCAACACCACCTCCAACAGGAAGCAACTCTCCTTCATTAATGCATTACCATTTTCACAAGAATGAGCCTGTGTGTTTGGATATTAAGTGGATGATAATTATCATTTGTTGTCGTGCGTCTATGTTCATTTTGTCTCCCATTGAACAAGCAATATCCTCATGCATATCACTTTTCTCAAGTCCCAACAATTGGCCGAGGAAAATCTAATATCTATCTCAAGTTTCTAAATTGCATTTATCTTCAAATCCTAAGAATCTCCTTTTATAAATTTGAGCAACATTTTCTGAACTGAAGCTCTCACGTATGATATATTCCCGCACGCATCTTACAGCAGAAGACCCGTTTTCAAAACCCGAACCCGGTCTAATCGGTTCAAATAAACGGGTCGGATTGCGCCTCCATTTCCCAAATTGGTGGGTTTCCAAGAGTCGATATAAGTAGCGAACCCTAGTGGCTGCTGCGGGTTTACCTGCTCCTGAGGGCAGCCGTTCGATTACACAAGGAAGCGAAACACTCCTCGAGCGATCGCTCCAAAAGCCCCTGTAAAGCCCTAACGCTTCGGTTTCGTAGGAGATCGATGGCGGCCTCCGTGATGCTTCGAGCTCTGAGGCGGCGCGATCTGTCGCCGCCCTATCTGTCCTCTCGCCTCAGATCTGTAAGCTCCCTTTCTTTTTCGGATTGTCCACGCCTTCGGAAGCGATTGGGATGTAGTAATCTTGACATGGGTTGAATTTCTTGCTTTCTGGAAATCCGTCTTTTGGCGGTTTCACATCGTTTAGGTGTTTACTTTGACTCCTACTTTGTTTGTATTTCTTTTCGAATGTTGGGTTACTGTGTCCGAAGAAATCACGAACACGATTTCTTGAGTTAAAGGATATGCAACCTTTTTTTGTGTTGTGTATTGGAGCAACAGATTTTTTTTTCCATTCTACTTGACATACATATTATCAGCAATGATATTTGGTTAAAGCTCCATTTTCTCCTAGTTAGCTCAGATTTTAGCACGGTACTGCCTGTTGGCATGAACATGTCTTTGACAAGTTATGTCTCCTTTCTGGATTTGGTATCTAAATCTGACTTTAATGACAGTCAAGTTACATTTTCTGGTTCCATGTACAGTATCTGCATCTTTGGTTGAGTTCGATGGATCGACTACTATCTAAAGGAATGGGACCATGCTTGTATGTGCTGGTGTTTCTGGAGTACGTTTGATAACAAAAACAAGTCGATGTGATTTGGACTTGTATATTAGTTTTGTACGAGATAATTGTAGCAACTTAAACTGACTGTTCTTTTTATAATAATCTCAACAGAGAATTTTAATTTTTTGTGCTCTTCCATTTTACATCATTGTTTCGTCGTTGGATTTTGTAGTAAGTTTTTAGCTAATATTTATAATTCCAATGATTTATAATAATGACTAATCATCTGCATGTCCTATGTATGTGAAGTTATTATACCATTAGCAAGTGGAAGCGGATAACATTGGAAGATAATGGGGACTTTCTCCATACACGTACCTGAAAATAGAATAATAGAAAATTAAAATAATAGATGGGGCTAAAGCATGGTTAAGTAGCTATATATCTTTTTTTCACTATATTGATTCAGACAGATTATCTAATCACATGCTCCTTTTTATAGACAACAAAATCAGTGGAATTTCCATGTTAGTTTCATATTGTTCATGTGTTATTTGTTATAAATTCTCTATGTTAATCATATGATAGTTACTGGACTTCCCTTAGTACATCATTATCTTTGTTGTTCCTTTTTCCTTACCTTATTGTTAACCAGATTTTTATATATTTTCTCTATTTGATTATGAGATTCCTATTGTTGGGCTCTTAAAGTCTTATTTCTACTCTTGATGTTGAGCAATAAAGTTATTATTCTTGCTAAGATGCTTGGACATAGCCATGAGGCATGGATGATACACCTACATGGCAAGTCCTACAAAAATAGGATGCCAGGTTTTAGGATCATTGCATGTATTTTCTGGAAGCAGCATAGCATTCATTCATATTAGTGGTGAATAACATGTGTAAAATGTAAATGAGTACATAAAAGTCTATTTTATATATATATATATATATATATATATATATATATATATATATATATATATATATATATATATATATATATATATAGTGCATTATTTTACTTATGCATTGTGTGAATGACTTAAATATCAAACATGCATACATTTATATCTAATAAATATCAGATGGTATGAGAGCCTTTGTTTATTCGAACCACACAACAGATGCCAAGAGGTGTCCAATAACTAGGTGTTCAACAAAGACACAACATGGATGCAACAAACATCTTGAAGTAACCTATATTTCATGTTTATTTCTGCAGTTATCTAGTAATGCAATCATGCCATGGGGTGCTCCTCTGGGTCACAAATGGTCTAGTTTGGTTAGACCCTTCAGGTATAATCTCATGCTTATAAATGTTGAAGTGAACTTTCAGAGTCTCTCCTTTAAGATATCACAATATTGTTTTCTGCTATTCTCTGGTTTCTTTCACCAAGGATAAGTTTTTTTTTTCTATACAGCACAAAACCAGCAGGAAATGATATAATTGGAATTGATTTGGGAACTACAAATTCTTGTGTTGCAGTTATGGAGGGAAAGGTTGTTCTTTATGCATATTCTCCAAATATTTTTTGTATTTGATCATCTGGAACTCTATTTAAATGTGTACTCTATGCTTATTTGTCACAGAATGCTAAAGTCATAGAGAACTCTGAAGGAGCTCGTACCACCCCATCAGTTGTAGCTTTTAATCAAAAAGGGGAACTACTTGTTGGAACTCCAGCAAAACGTCAGGCAGTCACCAATCCTACAAACACCCTTTTCGGTACCAAGCGACTGATAGGCCGTCGCTTTGATGATCCTCAGACACAGAAAGAGATGAAGATGGTTCCTTTTAAGATTGTGAGGGCACCTAATGGAGATGCATGGGTTGAAGCTAATGGTCAACAGTATTCACCCAGCCAGATTGGTGCCTTCGTTTTGACTAAGATGAAAGAAACTGCAGAGTCGTATCTTGGAAAGTCTGTGTCAAAGGCTGTTATCACCGTTCCTGCATATTTTAATGATGCACAACGTCAGGCTACAAAGGATGCAGGAAAAATTGCCGGTCTCGATGTTCAAAGAATTATCAATGAACCAACTGCAGCTGCACTTGCTTATGGGTTGAACAACAAGGAGGGTCTCATTGTAGTTTTTGATCTTGGTGGTGGAACATTTGATGTTTCCATCCTAGAAATATCAAATGGTGTATTTGAGGTATAATTTCTTAAGTTTATAGCTTTTGAGGATTTTGTTTTCATGTTTTTGTCAGGTTTTGTTGATCTCATTTTCGATTTCAGGTCAAAGCCACAAATGGTGACACTTTCTTGGGTGGGGAAGATTTTGACAATGCATTGGTAGAATTCTTGGTTGATGAATTCAAGAGAACTGAGGCAATAGATCTTTCAAAGGACAGGCTGGCTCTACAGAGGCTTCGAGAAGCAGCTGAGAAGGCTAAAATTGAATTATCATCTACATCTCAGACTGATATCAATCTTCCATTTATAACAGCTGATGCTTCAGGAGCAAAGCATATGAATATCACTCTGACAAGATCAAAGTTTGAGACTTTGGTGAATCACTTGATTGAAAGAACAAAAAATCCCTGTAAAAGCTGTTTGAAGGATGCTGGCATAAGCAGCAAGGATGTTGATGAGGTTCTTCTTGTTGGTGGAATGACTAGGGTTCCAAAAGTTCAGGAAATAGTTTCAGAAATCTTTGGAAAGAGCCCTAGCAAGGGAGTAAATCCAGATGAAGCTGTTGCAATGGGAGCTGCTATCCAGGGTGGTATTCTTCGTGGAGATGTTAAGGAGTTGCTCCTCTTGGATGTCACCCCCCTATCGCTAGGTATCGAGACCCTTGGAGGTATTTTTACGAGGTTGATTAACAGGAACACAACCATTCCCACGAAGAAGAGTCAGGTAAGGATCGATTCAAGTAGTTGAATTGAACTCTCAAGTTAATCTTAGTAGATGGTTCATTCAAAGAAGCTATGGACATAAAGTTGTCATGCGTATAGAAAACATGCCATATAGAATGTGACTTTTGGTCATAAACATCCACCGAAAACAGTTTACTTCAAATGGTAAATGCAAGTCCTTTTTGGCTTTCTTTGTCTTATGGATCAAAATTTTCCACAAAGAAATTACTTTAAAACTCATGATTGAAGGTGGATCATCTCCTGGAGATTCCTTTGATAAAGGGCATGCCTTATGAGTGACTAGCATTAGGTGTGAGCTCATGTGCCCAAATATGGACAGTAGTCATGTGACAATGTAGAGTTACTGGCATGAAGCGCAGTCCCCAGTGCTGGTGCTTCTATGCCAGCCTGTTATTGGTGTGTGATGATCTTGACTTGTCCAAATTGTTGAGATTTGCCTTCCAAGACTATGGAACTGCTTTTTACGTCACCTCTAGGTTGCTGGTAGCCTGGTACACAGCTGATAGAACTTGAAATAAGACTTAGGCAGAAGATGCATATTCTCTTGCATATTGAATGTTTTAATTAATTTATATTACCAAAATAAATAATAAGGGGGCAATGAGTTATAAAAAGAATAAATTAATTCCTGTATTATGTGGAATAATTTTTAAAATTAAAAATAAGAACTTTTTATATGAATATTCAAGTCTATATTTTTTTGAGAATGTGTACTTATTTATTTTAATATTGATCCATGTCACCATATTTTTATTTCAATTCTGACCTTTTAGGTCATATCCTTGTAGCTAAAACTAAGCAGCAACCATGTTGGATGCCACAACCATGTTAGTGGATCCTCTATACCCTGCTCCAAGCAACAACTCATGGTTAAATTTGAAATCTGGGAGTGATGGGAAGATCCTTGTCATAGTAGTTGACTCGAATCTTTGACAGCTTTGCCTCCCGTAAGCTTAAGTTTGTTACATGCATTTTGCCGGCAACCAGTCAAACCATGATGTATCTCTAACTGTTTGAAGAAATTTAGCAATGTGCTTGGTTTGACTTTCTCTTTTGATAATTTGCATCCTCTTACCTGTTTTCTGACTTCTGGAGCAGGCTTTCTATCCATTTTTTTATTGACTTTGACTTAAATGATAGTCAAATAACCATTTTGCCTTTGTCAATTTGAAAAGGAGACTGGATCTGAATTTTTGAACCTTTCTCTTTGAACATTGTGCCTAGGTTTTGCTAACACATCATTTCTTGATCATATGGTTAAAATCTGTTCTCACCAGGGTGGTTTTTTGTATTATTTTGGATTTTGGCAAATATGCATTTTCCTGCTTTCATGGATATGCAATAGGATGTCAAACATTTAACTCGACACTGTAGACTGTTTACTGGTTTCTTTCTCCATTCAGGTATTTTCCACTGCAGCTGACAACCAGACCCAGGTTGGTGTTCGTGTGCTACAAGGTGAGCGGGAAATGGCTACAGACAACAAACTCTTAGGCGAGTTTGACCTTGTAGGCATCCCACCAGCTCCAAGAGGCATGCCACAGATTGAGGTTACATTCGATATTGACGCCAACGGAATCGTGACAGTTTCTGCCAAAGACAAGGCCACTGGGAAGGAACAGCAGATTACTATTCGGTCATCCGGTGGCCTCTCTGACGATGAGATTGAGAAGATGGTCAAGGAAGCCGAGCTCCATGCTCAGAAGGACCAGGAGAGGAAAGCTTTGATCGACATCAAGAACAGTGCAGACACAACAATTTACAGTATTGAAAAGAGCTTGGGCGAGTTCAGGGATAAAATTCCGGCTGAAGTGGCCACAGAGATCGAGTCTGCAGTAGCTGATCTACGGAAAGAGATGGCAGGAGATAATATCGACAACATCAAGGCCAAGCTTGATGCAGCAAACAAGGCAGTCTCAAAGATTGGGCAGCACATGGCAGGAAGCTCAGGTGGGTCTTCATCTGGTGGTTCTCAAGGTGGTGATCAGGCACCCGAAGCAGAATACGAAGAGGTCAAGAAGTAGGATGTCTGATAGATGATTATAGCCCTACCGAAGCAAGTAAATTCATGTTGTGTTTAATATCATACTGTCTAATTTCTGACAGGGTATGAGCAGATTTTGCTTTAGTGGTAGTTTTTTAGCGAAATAATAGATGTCGCTCAGATTATGAACTCAGTAAGTAGATCGAATGGCCACAGGATTTTGTCGATCTTAAGGGTTCCTGGTGTTTCTGTGAAGAGCAAATCAGATACGCTGTCCTTTGGATGTCAGATATCCCTATCAAAGTGGGGAGTTGCATCTCTTGGAAACATTCCAAATGGTGTGGTTTGTTCTTGTTCTGCTGTTGTTAGCTGTATGTTTTTTTATGGATATCACTAGTTCCAGTGACTTGAGTTAGTGATGTACATGGTTAAGCTGTAATTGGTCTTATCAAGTCGAACAACCTTGGTGATGACAGCCAAACATGCTAGTGGAACACATGAATGTAAGAATGTTGACGGTAATATGGAAACATGGAATAACTATCTATCAGAAACCTGTGGGTATGATGATGAAATGGGAGTTGCTACGATCCATCTTGATTAATTCATCAATTATTTTAATCACTGATCCAAGATTTTTAAGTTAATGTCAAGTTGATGTTCATATGACATCTAAAGTATTTATCATAGAGTATTAATTTCGAACGTAATTGCACCCAAAAAAAATCCGAAACATTTGGCAACAAGAGTGTCCCCCTTTTGTGTTCGATGCACCCACTTATGATAAAAAAATATATATATTGGACGCCACCAGAGCATCTCCTTAACGTGCGATACTTCCACTTACTTCAACAATAAGACATCCAATATGCCCAACTTACGCATCCCCTTCTATTAGATGTATACGCCCAAGATAAGAAAACAACCATAGTATTTATTACTTATAATAGTCTATTAAGGTTCCCAAATAAACATTGTAATATAAGCTGAATAAACCCTAATCAGACTTGCTAAACTAATAATAAACTTCTTTTGTGCTTTTTTCACATTACCAATAAACAAATGGTCTTTTCAATTATACTTTTGGTGCAGTCACATCGATAGAGGTATTTTCTACCATCAGAGTGATTTATTCTCAACCAATGATATCACTTAAAAAAACTAAGTCCGATCAATTTCACCACGTTGAATTGAGCAGGCAATCTTTTACCTCTTTAGTCTTATATATAAACCAAATCATTTGATCACTTGTGTTTCATGTGATCGATATGACTTCTAGTGGTAGTCGACTGAGGCCCCTCCCTACCCTTCCATTTTCTTTTGGGGGTATACGAGAGGTCATACAGGCCGGTCCTCGATGGGCCCACGCGGGGTCCACTATTGGACCTTCCCTATGAAAGGGCTGGCGATTGACCGCAGGTACCCTCCCGATCCCTGGGGGACTCAACCCGATGGATCCCTCCCCGCAAAATTCGTCCTCCACCGCCGGTAACGGCGGCCTCCCCTCCACCGGGGCCGCCGCCGCCTCCAGCCCCGCCCCCAACCCGACCTCCGCCGGGACCATCGGCTCCGCGGCCGACCCTGCCGAGGAGGCGAAGCAGAACCTGACCCAGGTCATCAACTCCGTTGACAAGACCCTCGGCCTCCTCCACCAGCTCTACCTCACCGTCTCTTCCTTCAGCGTCGCCTCGCAGCTCCCGCTTCTCCAGAGACTGTGAGCCCTCCTCCTCTTTGTTGCCCCCTTCCCGTTCTCCTTCCCCGCCCTGGAGAGGTGCCTCTGATCCTAGGGTTTTTTTTTTTCCTTTTTGGCGGGGGTGGTTCTTTTGGGTTCGCTCCCACAGGAACGCCTTGGTGGCGGAGCTTGACGCGATGCAGAAGATGGCGGACAAGTGCAACATCCAGGTGCCTATGGAGGTCGTCAAGTGAGTCTCTTGATCTCTTTCTTGACTGTTTGGAATCGATTCGTTAAAGATTCTATCTTTTTGTGCAGTTTGATTGACGATGGGAAGAACCCTGACGAGTTCACTAGGGATGTGATCAATAGTTGTATTGCCAAGAACCAGATAACCAAAGGAAAGACTGATGCTTTTAAGGTAATTCTTTTTTTTCTTTTGCTTCATTGTTAGTCTAATCTAATAACATGAGATACTTCACTGTTACCTTTCTTTATTCTCGAAGTACATATAAAATGAATCTTTAAGAACTCATGGAGTTAGTTCTATGTTGAAGATTGTGATTGCATGGTATTAGATAACCTGACAGCATGTTCACCTATTGTAATTTTGTTGGCTTTCACTTCTTATTTGATGTAAGAGTGTCATACATAAAAGTTCCGTATTCAAGTTTATATATGCTGTCACGTTAGGGTAGCATGGTAATTAAAAGACTTTTACATGCATGGTCCAGCATCTTAGCATGCCTACATGTGAGAGTAATATGAGAGAATTAAGAAACTTCTGTACAGCGGAAGATTCTGCTTCTTTTATGCACTGTTATTGTAATGTTAGTGTATTATGAGAGATCATTAGCCTTAAACCTTTAAGTTTTTCTATTAGTCACGGTTTTGTTCCGTTTATTTGAAGTTGTTGGACTAGTATGCCTAAACCAGTGTCCTTACATGGTTTTCATTACCTAATAATTGATCAAGTTCCTTATTGACCTTTGGACAACCTTGAATGAGTTTATCATTCTGTTTTATAAAGGAAATCGACACGTTTAAACTTTAAAGTTGGTTGTATGACATTCAAGGTGACTGCATCTAACTTGCAATGCCTAATACTCTTGTTAAACACAAGTATCCACCGTGAATGCCAAGATCTATAGTTGTGTTTTTTGTTCAGTAAATTCTATGGACTATCATTCTTGGTTCATTCCTTGTCATGTTGGTGACTCTTCAATGTCTATTACAGAAAAAAGTCAGAAAAGGTTAATTAGTTAGAGATGTCATTTATGATATATATTACTACAGGAAATGTTAGAACCACAATTTCTGATTATGAACTTTTGATCAGGCTTTACTTACATATCATTGGACTAAACAATCACTTTCAGACTATTGCGAAATTATTGGTCATTAACAACTCTTTCAATTTATTTTCTTGACCCTCAATGTCTTCAATGTCATTAATGCTATTTGGTCTGTATCATGCAAAAAAAATTGTAGATACAGGATATACATCATTAGAACTTATTTTGTCATAACCTTAGTTTCCGTTCTAGCTTTTAAAACCTGTCATTAGTAGTCCATTTTACTATTTTGTTTTATATTTACTGTGTCTTTGCACAATGGCTTACTTTTGTCTTATGTTAATAGAGCTTGCGAAAGCACCTTCTTGAGGAGCTTGATCAGGCTTTTCCTGATGAAGTGGAAACCTATAGGGAGATCCGTGCTTCTTCTGCTGCTGTAAGTTATAATAGCTTACCACTCTTCCACTAATCTCTTAGATTCTTTTTCTCACTGAATCCATATTTCTTTTGCTATTTTCAACTCTTATGGTGAGATTTTTGAGATTCTTTTTCTGTTATTTTGTATATAAATATGTGCATATAACAACTTATGGCTGTTAAATAGACAGTTAAATTTATTTTTTCACTGAATAGTAAGATCTTTGTGCTTGCCTTTTCTTTTTTGACAAAAGATCAAATGTATAATGAAGTACTGTTATAATAGTTAGTCTTGAGGCTATTTGATGATTCCACTATTTCATGGAGCCTCTCTTTATGAATATCTGTACTCTGTACCAACTATTTGATCTGTTCCGATTAAAAGACAAGGCCGAGGACTATGGTCATAAGACCTAATAGAAGATCACAACCAGAGATAAAATTCATTTGATCCTATGTAAAGACGTGAAACCATATAGAGGGCAACCAAAGCAGTACATGGGAGCAAGCTTTTTCCTTGGATGCAATGGATGTTTTTAAATTCTAAGCCATAACCAAGTGTTGTACTGTGAGAAATGTCAATTTCTCAATTTTGTAATTAACTGGTAGATACGTGTTATGTGAATCATGTACGTTTTTGTAAATGTAGCATTTCGTTAGATCTTGTCACTTGTAAAACTGATATAGGTACTGGAAACATATTATAGCTTAGGAGTATCTGCACCACCTTCACCTTTACCTCGTACTTCTTTAACATCCACCATCCACCATCCACTATCTTATTGCCATTGTTGGCACCATATTTACCTCCTCTAACCTCCACTCTAGTTATGACAATTGTTACCTCATTATCACCAGCACTACCATATTTACATCTCAGTTGTTGTTCATCACAGCCTCCGTCATTGTGTTCTCCGATTCCTCATTAGTAAGAAGAGAAGGTAAAATGGCGAGTATTGTACCTTGATATGAAACATGATATTTTATTGTAGGCTGCTGTCAACAATATAAACCGGCAAGGATGAATTTTGGATTTAGGAAATAGCATTAGGTTGTTCAATGCACCACAAATGAAGGGATTGTCAATATAAATTAACAACGCAAGAGGTTAATTGTTATATGTTTTGCTGCAAACTACTTGTGTAAATCTTACTAAATTGTGCCTGAATTGCTGTTGAACCTAAGCATTAAGTGGTACCACTCATTTCATCGTAATCATCTGAACGTGTTGATGCGACTTAGAAGCTCACCTTAACTGTCCATGTTGACTGCCGTGGTGTCCTGTCTTTTGTGGGAGTTTACCCTAGTTTTGCTGTTTGATTGATTTCACATTTCACTTTCAGGAATCGAAGCGGCTGGCACAGTCCCAGAGTGCTCTACCGAATGGAGATGTCAAAGTGAAACAAGAGCACTAATAGGCATATTGGCTATTCCTGTTCATTTCAGCTAGTGTGCAACCTAACTTGATAAAATGTTTCCTGATATTCAAACTAAGCTTTGTACTGTTTTCTATTAGTAGATGGTTGAGCTCTGTGTTTTTAAGCTTGTAGAAAAATGAATCATATATATGTCTGACATTATAATATTACATGTATCCATGTCCAGATAAAAAAAAAAAATTTATAGTTTTTTAATCCTGTCAATTCGTTTTCATGACTATTTTGTTTTCGCATAAATAAGTTTGGTAATTTCGTTCTGCACTAAATGATTGCTGCCTCCAGTTTTTCTCATGATCCTTGTTTGTTAGTGCTTTTACATTCGGGGCAAGAGTAGTGATCTGAATTGGAGCTTTAAAATTAGCAAATTTTTTGATGTAGAATAACATTCAAGTAATAAAGCATAATGTTTTTTAAAGGGTAGGGGATAGATATAGGTACGATTTGAGCCTAGCATTTTGTGATGATACGTTAATGACTTTTGTCAGCTAAGTTATCGGGTACCTTTGTAAACCATAATTATGTCAAGGCCATTCATCTTATATGCATTAAAGTTTATAATCTTATAAATCATGATTATGTCAAAGACATTCATTTTATATGCTCATATGAACATGCTTATGTATAAATGATTAAGTGATGAAGGTTTGATTTGAACTTAACATCGTGTCAAAATCTTTATCAGAGCTAAGCTATATAGCACGTTCTAATAAAACACAGTCGTGCCCACTCAGGAAAGCATTAGGGATACATTCAAGTCCCATGTCACAACATACAAGTGATAGCTATTGTAATGAATGACATGTTGTAGTACCAGAATTGTAACAGCGTAAATTTATCTTCCTAACTCTTCTTTATATCTTTTGTTTGTGAAACAAAAAAAGAAAACTTCTATAACACTTATTTTCTCGTGGATGATTATAAATGGATCATTCTAAGCACAGTACTCTTCAATCCTTAATCAATCATCATTATCATCAATAGGGCTAATTATATATTATCCTCTATCATCAGTATCAGGGTTAATTACATATTATTCTCTGTTGTTAATTATATTTAGTATTTTGGTTTCTACACTTTAATTAAAGTTACATTGACATCTTTATACTATGAAATATTTAATCTTAGTTATCCTCATGTCATCAACTTTATCAACCAAAAAAAATCCTTTGATTGTGCTTAGATGGTATACCTTGTGGTTGCATCGGTGGCGTTTGATAGGAGATTCGGGCATTGCCTCTTTTGTGAAGCGCTATCTTCCCCTCCAGCTTCTCTCCTCTTTAATTATATGGCATTCCAAAGGAGATCTAGTACACTTTTGTTCTCACTCTCGTTCGAACCATTCTCACAATTAATAAAAAAGACCATCTACAATAAAAGACAAAAACACCATTAACATACCAAAAGTAAAGATAACTCTTATATTAAATAAAAGTTTTATAGATTTTATAAAAAAGATATAACTATAAATTATAAACTTCTCATCACAATATTTATCCTTCTATGCATCTAATTGGACTACTTTTTTAAAAGGCTTAGTCTAAGTTTTTTTTTTTTTCATGCCTTGATACAAACTTGATCAAAATGTGTTGAATTTCATTATCGATACTCTAAAAGAAGCTTTTTTTATTACATATGATGGCTTATACCAAGTGTTTTCCTTGATAATGATAGATTAAGTAGTCTTTGATATATTTGACATAAAGGAAAGAGTTAATTTATTTTTTGAATTACATTATCTATCTTTATTTTGACAGTGTTTTTAGGATCTTTAGGAAATTTTATATTTTATTCTAGTATTTAAAAAAAATCTTAATTTAGATAGAATGTAATACATGTTACTTTATTTGATCATACAACATAAGCTCGTTGGTTGTATTTCAAATACAGGTAGGTGGGAGACATTTTCCTAAGTTTTCTACTCAAAATATAATAAAAAGCTAGGTATGTCATTAAAATATACATATTGTATATTGAAACATTCTAATATTTGTAATTTTGCTCCCTATTAAAAGATCTTTAATTAGTTGATTTTTGACTTGAATTTGACTCTTCTTATCTTATTAAATAATCATTTTTTAACACAGTAATTTAAATTAAACATAAGTTAAAAACTATGATTTAAATTATGATTCAATAAATCTGCATTAAATATAGTGATTTAAAATAAAAAATTTAAACACTTACTTAAGTCTTCATCATCCGACAACTCAAAAATAGGAATTTTATCTTGACGCCTCGTCTTCATCTATAGCATCAATCGTAAACTCTAATTCTCTCGAATTGTAGATTAGAAGTAGGAGAGCTATCCGCCTTATGCGTACCACTAACACGACCACCATTGGATAGGTCGTCCGAGAGGATAACAAAGCTGGAGGAGATGATAATGCTCACAGAGGTTGATAAAGCTTAAGAAATGCTAAAAAAAAACTTTTTCTTAACATGTAATATTATGCTGCTCTAAGATACTATCATGTAAAACTTAAGAATGCACATGATCATTAGATTAAACAAAAGGATACATAACGTTTCACGGATGTCGAAAGTGACGGTTGGATCTCCTCTAGAATGCCACCGGCCTCACATGCCATCAACGTTATCATTCAATATGTCGTTTGGAAGGATAGCATAGCCAAAGGGAAGGAAAACGGAAGGGGAGAAAAGCTAGAAGGCAAGATAGTGCTTTATAAAGGAGGCGACACCCAAATCTCCTCTAGAACGCCATTGGTCTCATGTGCCACCAACGCTGTCGCTGGGTATATCGTTTGGAAGGATAGCATAACCGAAAGGGAGAGAAGCTAGAGGGGATGAAAATGAGAGAGGAAGATACTACTTGATAAAGGAGGCAACATCTAAATCTCCTCTAGAACATCGTGCACTATTATTATTTATTATTCTTGTATTATCGATTTTATTTTATTTTTTTCTCACAATCTTTTATTTCATCTTCATTGTTGACATAATCAACCTTACTCATTGCCGACATCATTCACTATCCCCTTGTATATCTCTCCACTTGTTGTCGCGCTATCGATGCCCATGCAATGAACCCTTGATGCTCGACGTTGTTTGACCTCACTCGTCATCCCATTGACGTCATTCGTCCTCACTCGTCGTCGCTCATATATTGTTCTTCAAGAAAAAAGAAGAAATAAGAAGAAGAGAAGGTAAATGAGGATATTTATATATATTTATAATAAAATAATTTAGAAATATTAAAAATATGAAAAGAAAATTAAAAATAAGATAGTAAATAGTAAAAAATGTTTACAAATAAGTAATATGTTAGTAAAAGAAGCCACATAGTTCGGCAGGACGAGTGACATTTGGTTCACATGACTCGGGTCGTTAGCACACCGAGTCAGCTCAGACCCCGAAGCCCGCATTTCGTTGCCGAGGCTTAGCGCATCCCACGCTGAGATGTCTGAAGAAGACGTCGCCCAATTCCTTCCCCGACACGGACGCATGGCTGACAATTAGGGCCGGAAGATCCATCGGACGAGGCGAGGCGAGGCGGGAGCATGACGGGCGAGCCACCCGATGAGGATGGGCTCAATAGCGCGGACGGCACAGGTGACGGCGATCCGCGCCGTGTCCCCGATCCGCCGAGCTACAGGGGGAAAGTCTTGTAAGGGCTGCCTCTATTATTCCTCGCGCCTGAAGTCCGACGGCCACAATCCCGTCTGCGTTGGCATCGGTCGGACTCTTCCACAAGGTCCATTTGCTTTCTGTCTGTGTCTGGGAATTTTGTGCTGGAATATGCGGATTATAACCTCGATTTCTGTCTATCAGTTTTGTTACATGGCAAAGATGTGATATCGTCGTCTTTTTTATGAACTAAGTGGTGCGTGTTCCAGGAATCTAAAAAGTGTGCGCATTTGGTGGGACTTAGGATGATAAAATGCTATGCGAATGTTCATGAATTAGGGTTATTGAACTTTAAAATTTGATCAAACAAGCAAGATTGCTAGAACTGTGCCTTTTGCTTGAATATTATTCATTGACTAACACGGATTATGGGAGTGATTCCTTCACATAATGACCCATTGAAGTTTGCATGATGATATTTGCCAACATCTAAAATAATGATAACTATAACATATCTGAGGCCTGGTTTATAAAGAAAACTAAGTTTGTTTAGGTAATCAAGTTGCTATATTGTATATAATAGTGAACCCTGAAATGAGAAATGAAACTATGCATAGGAAACTTGTCTGAAGTTAAATGAAATAGTCTTCTAGTTGCTTGGTCCATGCTTCTTTCAGAACCCCCGACCCACCTGCAATTTTTTTTTAATAGACATTGAAAATGATGTTTTTAGATTATGATCCTTTAAAAAAATGATGATACAAGCTATATGTGAATGACGCGACAATGTTCCTTATTAATAGAGGGAAGCAACTGTGTGCAATGGAATTTTGACTCATAAGGTGCTGAATTTAATATCAGTTCCAACAATGTTCCTAATTGAACCAATTTACAACAGTGTAGAGCTCTCAAGCGCTATTGTAGATCAGTGTTCTGAAATTACATCTCTTTTTCTTGTGCTTTTAAATAGATAAGTAAAGAAACTGAGTTGGTCATTTCTTCAATTGTTGAGGTGTATCTCCTTCAGGGTCTGTAGAATGTCTTCCTCTAATTTTGGATTTAGGTTAATTGGTCCTTTTGTCCTAAGATAGCCAATCAGTTTTATACATACATCTATTCCATGTATGAATACTGTCCGGATTTAATTGGGTTTTCAGCTTTCACATGTTAAAATCTCCTTTATGGAGTAATTCCTGTTTATAATATTTCCATTGATTAGCTTCATGGAGTTAGGCATGAAGATAAGACCTTGACACAAGTTGAAAACATTCAAGTAATAAGTGTATATTAACTGAAAAGTATGTTGGTTTTTTGGGATTGTTTAACCGCTGATAACTAGTGGACTGTGACTGGTTCGGATTGGTTATAATTTATTTACTGTTAACACATATCCATCTGCTTTTTTTTTTTTGGTTCTGGTCCTTTTCTATCATTGCTTAAGAAGCCATTTTGGTCTAGGGCAACTCACTAGATACTGGCATATTATGTGGAAAAATTCATCAGCTTTTTTGCGGGTACTTGGTCCATGATGCTTTACCATGAAAGATTGGATTCATCATGTTGTTCTTATGTTTACTGAAATATTGAGTGAATAAGATTCATCCTATTCTCATTAACAACTAAGTGAAACTCTTGTGACCCGTACCTAACTCCATCATTGGTGATTCTGAAACGGAAGCTACAAAAGATGGTCGTAGCCTGTCAGATTTCAAGTATGCTTGTGTTGGTTATTCACTTTTCCTAGATAAGAAAGATAATACTGCTGAAAAGCCAGAGAACCAAGCAGAATTGCCATTTTGTGTGGGCATAGAGGTCATTTCTTGCTTCTCTGACTTTCTTAACTGCATGTTGCTTGATATTGTGTTCCTTTCATATTTTTTCAGGAGTATGCCTTTTGATCTCTATTGTATAGGTCTAAATGTTCTTACTGGAACAAATAATTGATTACAAGTATCGACTAACATTGATACACTATTGTTGTCTATATGCATATACAACTGTTGCTTTGGTTATTTTATAGGCACAGACGACAATTGTTATATTTAGCTGTATGCACAGGCAATCACCACTAAACTTTTGACGTAGCTTATCTAGCATCAGTCACGCAAAGGTAGATTAGTTCAGAATAATTTCATCCAATATATATGTGGTGGTTGTTGAATTTGGCGCTGGGTTTATATTCACCTTTCATACTATTTCTTTTAAGAATAATATTGTGTTTGTATAACCCAAAAGGTATTGAATTCACAATCAAAGACAGAAAAATGTTTAGATAATTATGGATTCAATGGAGAATTATCTGCATTAAAGAAATCCTGATACAGATGTTGTTGCATGGGATCATCTTCTCCTGTATTGTGAATAATGAAATATGCTTCCTGTACTTGATTTTATCACGTTTGAGATATCCATTTGTGCTAGGATGTGTGCTTTAGTTTATAAGAGATGGAGAACATCACTGTGCCAAGGAGTGCTATAAGATGTAGAATATAGGTGACATAAAGGAAAGCTAAAGAGTGCAATTTGGAGAGTTAACTCTTGTATTTTTTTTCCCTTGCAAATGTGTTTCAGAACTTTTCTTTTCATTGTCAGTTCACTAACATCCATGTGAAATTTATTGCAGATATTGGCGGACAGAAGAACTTCAACTGCTGGTCATATTCCTGCAAATGTTAACAAGGAAGATGATGGACCATAAATGATCTTTTGGAAGTTCTATTTTATTTAAAACAAGGATGGATGTCAATCTGTGTTTCTAGCTACATTGGATCATAAGGCCAATTTCTTGACAACTTTGCTATATTTTATCATCAG